ATTGGGATTGAACTTATTTCTAATTTTGTTTTGTAAACCTAACCTTAATATTTAATTAAATAATTATATGTATGAAAAACATAACAAAAAATAATAAGAAAGAAAAACTAACAATATAATTTTTATGACAATAGTTCATCGTTGAAAAGTTGTAGGGGTGGACTTTGACTTGGCATATTACAATTACATATTATACAGAATTCATCTGTACAATCCTTACCCCGATTTATGTGCAAACAGCTTCCAGCAGATGTGGGTGCTAGGTACCCGACATCATCGTTCCAATTGAAATCGTTGTAGGTGGCTGTGAAATCTGGTGATGATTGGGTCTCCGACGAGGATGATGACGATGTAGTTGCATAGGGGTGTTCATCAAAAACATTGCATGTTTCTGAAGAACTAAGGGTTGCCTCACTTGATGTATCACAATTAATATTCCACAGGATATCATCCAATGTAGAGCGACAATCATTCATATCTAATTGAAAGTTGGAGAAATTAAAAAAATCGGACGATGAAAAGTCATGTAAATCATTCATGTTGCTCATGTTGCTGTCTGTACCCGTACCATTGTTATCAAGTTCCAAATCTGTTGCTGCTGAATCTCCATAGTTACAATTGCTGTTTTGATCTTGATAACCACCAGCAGTTTGCTTCGATAATTTCTTATTTTCCAATATTGAAAGTAAACTTGATATTTCTGCTTGATTGGCTATTATATTCTGGTAGTATTTTGTCCTCTGCTCCAATTGTTTCGATATGGACATTTGACGTTTTAATGCCTTTACCAAATTCCGATTGGCAATACGTGCCTCTTCTACTTCCCTCTCCAGTGACTCCAAGTAAATTTTTTTCTTGCGACGATTTTCTCTGGCCAATAGTGCATTCCTATTATACACCTTGGGATCTGGACGTCGCGTTGGCATTCTTTCTTCTCCATTGCGTTTTCTTGTTGCCGTAACCTTGCTTCTCTCATCAGAAGATACTGAAAATGGTGAAACTACTGCGTATTTTTCTAATCCATATGGCGAAAATTCATCCACGTCGTCAGAACATGATGAATAATCATTTTCGTGTCGTGCCAAGATACAGTTGCCATTAAAAGCTTCCATGTTGGTGGAGGTTTTTTTGTGTGAAATTAGGACAAACAGATGCAATAACAGTAGTAACTTCGTGAAATTTTCTGCAATTTCTTTTTATTACTTTACCTTTATTTAATTTTATAGTTTTTTAGCCTTTCTAAATCGCAAATATATCAATTATATCCAGAAAACTGCGAAAATGTGAAAAAATGCGTTGTGAAATATAAGCTCAATGACTCAGTGATGATAAACGTGATAAACGTTTATTGTAGAGTTGGGTAGTTCCGGAACGAACTAGTTCATTGGAACTATTCCGAGAAAGGAACGAACGGAACTAGTTCCAGTTCTTTAATTAATATAATTCCTTTCTCTGATCCAGTTCCTTTTTTGAACTATTTGAAGCAAAGGAACTGTATGGAGCAAAGGAACTATAAAGAGCAAAGGAACTATATGGAGCAAAGGAACTATATATGGAAAAACGAAAAAAAAAATAATAAAAGAGAGAAAGAGAGATTCAAAAGAACAGTGGGAAGCCTCCAAGACTCCAGCCTTCATAAAATTCGCTTGTTAATCGTCGTTCTGCCAAGACTCAAGCGACGTAGTACGCAAACCTTCGCCAACAAATGGTCTGTTCCAGCACTTTTTATACCCTCCACCATAGTATGGAGGGTATATTAATTTTGTCATTCCGTTTGTAACTCATCGAAATATTCATTTCCGACCCTATAAAGTATATATATTCTTGATCAGGGTAAAATTCTAAGACGATCTAACCATGTCCGTCCGTCTGTTGTAATCACGCTATCTTCTGAAGGAATTGAGATAGGGTGCTGAAATTTTGCATAGGGTTGTCTTTTGTCTGCAGGCAGGTCAAGTTCGAAGATGGGATATATCGGTCCACGTTTAGGCATAGCTCCCATATAAGGGTACCCCCCAATTTTCGGTATTTTGGGGTTCTTGAGCGCGTTTTTCAAGCGAATTTGTAGTAAATGTATCCACAAAAAATTATAAATATAGGTCCACTTTTTCTTGTAGCCCCCATATAACGGTACCTCCTAATTTTCAGTATTTTTTTTGGGTTTTTATCGTATTTTTCACCGAATTGGCTGTAATTTAGTATTTTGAGTTCTTAGCAGGTACCAAATCTCTCCACAAAAAAATTTAAATATAGGTCAATTTTTTCGGATATCCCCCATATAAGGGTACCCCCAATTTCGGTATTTTGGGGTTCTTGAGCGCGCTTTTCAACCGAATTCGCTGCAATTTTGTACATTGGGTTCATATTGCGTACCAAATATCTCTACTAAAAATTATAAATATCGGCCCACTTTTTCTGGTAGCCCCCATATATGGGCACCCCAAATTTTCGGTATTTTGAGGTTCTTAAGCGCGATTTTCAACCGAATTCGCTGAAATTTGGTACAGTGGGTTCATATTGGGTACCAAATATCTCTATTTAAAATTATAAATATCGGTCCACTTTTTCATTGTGGGGTGCGCCTCTGTTTGCTATTGAAAATAAGAAGAAGCATGCATATTTACGATCATTCACAATAGTCAAACCATATGTTTGTGAATAATGTCAAACAAAACACGACTGAGAGAAATGGAATAAATTATAAACAAAAGAAAAAATATGATGACAGGAGCCTTTCTTCCTGATTAAATGGATAAATTTCGTTCCTTTTTGATTTGACCTTTGATGAAGATTGGTTGTGTGGCCCTGATTGGAGTGAAGAAAATACATCTTTTTTAAATTTCAATTCGAACTTTTTTATTGTGGAATAGTGTTTTTGAATTTGAAAGACAACACAAAACAGCAATACAATACAAACAGAAACCAATTGAAGGTGCATGAAAATATTAAACATTTGAAAATTAATTTTGCTTAAAATAAAATTAAAAGGAAATATCAGGAGCCACAGCATCGCACATCCAATCCAACGAGGGAGAATCAGCACTTTATGGCATGACCAGTCCGGCATGCCCAGGTATCTTGCCAAAGCGACTACATACTTTGAACGCCGGACGGACAGACGGACGACCAGCTTCGAATTTGATATATTCCAAAACTGATCTTGCTATAAAAAAAATGAACAAAGTTAAAGGGTGAACAAGTGCATTTTCTTTATATCAATTGTGGTCACCTGTTGTTTTTTATTGTTCTAATTCGGGGTTGAGCTCAGGCCAGGATTAGGGACCACCAACATAGACAGCCTTTGAAGTGTAAAGGCAGACACGCCTTGGTTGCCTCTTTCTGTATATTTGAAACACAAAAAAAAAAGAAATTAGAAAATATAAAAATACTGGAATGTATTAAAAAAGGCTACTATATACTTACGAACATACCATACGCGAGCTTTGGGGAAGATTACCCTGAAAATAGTGGAGAAAAAAAATGGTAATTAATGATATAATTTTCTGTAAATAGCTTGAAATGTATTTGGTGTGAAGAATATTTTAGGCGGGTGGTAAAGATGGGATAAAATATGGTAAGTCAAGGGTCAGATCTGGGACGTCCAGTATGAGTAGACGTCATGGCGAGAGGTGTTCTCGGAGGGAGGGCTATCTCCTGGCTGGTCAGCCGCCAGGAGCACTGTTTCTGTGAAGAAAACTAATGTTATTTTGGGATATGGTTGCAGTTAGGTGAACGTTTTCTGCTATTTAATTTTTTTTGTTGACATGTTTCAGGCTTCTTTTTACCCCCTTTTTGATTTAGTTTGAAGTCCGGTATGATTTTTTCTTGTTTGTTCAACCGAAAAGATCTGCAAGTGGCAAGAACCAACCCCCAATCCGACGAGCCATAGCCGCGCTAAACGACAGCATACCGGCAACGCCACTTAATGGTCAACACAGCGATTTCATTTCGTTTTTCTTGAACACGGTTGTTACAAAATGGCGCCCAGAACGTGGGGCCTGAGACATGTTAGCTTTTAATAATTTTTAGTCGTATTGTGTAAATGTGTTTACCATGAATCTTTAATGAGTCCCGTCTAGGTTTAATTAAGAGTCCTGACGCGTTGCTTCATCGAAGACTCAGGTAAACATCATTTATATTTGGGAAAATATGATTTTTATTATTTTTTTTCTAGTGGCTTAGTCGTTCTAGTTTAATACTTCTAATGGCACTAGCTTTTTAATAAACTTTCATATTTTAGTAAAGTTAAAATTTCAGATTTCTTAAAGTTATATCGTTGAAGAAATTCGTCTGGTTTATCAGTTCTCATTTGTGGAGACCCGTCCAAGCAGCCTATAAGAAGGCAGGTGACGCGCTGCTACGCAAATATGAATTTTTATTCTCAAACGAATTTGTTAATTTGGGTTTTTTAGATTTTAGTTTCTGTCTATATTTAATTTCAGTACCCGGAATTTGGTAGCTGATCTCAGACTTACCTAGAGTTTCCATTCGGTCCTGCGACAATTTTGGCTTCCGACCATTGGTCGTATTGTCATGGAATCTTTTAAGGGAGGTCTGAGTAAGCCGCCTATTCCATTTTAATTTTTCAGTCCATTTCAATTCTAGTTTTGCCAGTGTAGCTCACCAAATCCCTGTAAAAAGTGAAACATATTAAAATTCATACAGAAACAGTTTATTTGACCTTGACTTACCACTATTTTGACCAGAAATCCACCACCTAACATTATTTGAATTTTTCCAGTTTATTTTCATCAAAATTATTCTGCCGGATAATAGAATTTGTAAAAGTGAAAAGTGTGAATTAATTGTGAAAGAACTGAATTACATTGAATTTATTTTTTTAGTTTACTTACCACAATTGTTTTTATTTTTTTTTTTCTTTAATTCAAACCACCGTGTGGTTTACTTTCGAGCAAATTCTTTTGACAGATTTCTTTTTGATTTTTTATCGCTTTTTCTGAATTTTTTTGTTTACTAATTTGGTTATATCAAAAAGCAATATGCCTCTTACTAGAGCTGCGAGTGCAGGTTTGGCAGGTAGACCGATATTAGGGCAAAATGGGGTGGTAACCACTTCCGAATCTACAGCCGTAAGCAGTGTTGTTACCGCGGTTCACAGCGCACCTTCTAACGCACAACAGGTTACAACTGCCGCGCATAGTGGTCCCATTGCTTCTCATATCGCACATTTAGCACATGGGGACGTCCCAGCTCAAGGTGTTTCATCATCAATGTCCAATTCATCGGCACCGCCACCAGTTCCATTAAGCATGCAAGAGGCCGCTAACTCGTTTAACACGTCTTTTTGGTCACATGGAAGCGTTGCCTCGCCAAACTATAGTGTTTTGACCGGGTTGCAGAATAGACCAGTTGTCCCGCCAGCAGATCCAGCAGTCAGCGCAGGAGTCAGGGAAATTATTAATTCTGCCATCGCCCTGTCCCAATTGCAGTACCGTCAACAGGAAGAAGAAAGATTGAGAGCTCTGATACCTCGAATTGCTGAAGCGGCCAAGCGTTCGTTGTTGGGAGACAATGACGGCACTAATCAAGTATTTTCACAAGCCGGCTTGGCGATGCCAGCAGCGGCACCACATGCACCAGCGCGCACATCCCGGGAGTCAGTCATTCTGTCTTCACATGCATTGGCGTCAGGCTTAACGTCTCAGCAGCCTAATTTAGCAAGGGGTTACACACTACCATATCCGGAGCGAGTAAATCCACCACCGATTCACGATCCTAGACCGTTGTCACTTGGTCCTTTTAACCAACCGCCACCAGGGTTCACATCAAGTGGTGCACCAGCACAACCACCAACCAGCTTATCGGTACCACCAGTCGCCGGAGTCCAAACTCACACAATACTGCCGGCCGAGAGGTTGCCTAATATCTACAGCAGAGGCATGCGGACAGAGCCACACGAGACACATACCAGTCCACATCCCAGCAATATCATCTCAGAAATCTCGGGGCGTTTTAATTTGGCGAAATGGGGAGTATCTTTTGATGGTACCGACAAAACCATGAGCGTCCAAGAATTCATCTTCAGAGTGGGTGAACTTAAAAAAGATTATAATTGCCCTGATGAAGTATTGATCACCAAATTTCACCAACTTTTGGAAAAACCAGCTCTCGATTGGTATTGGAACCACCGGAAATTGGTCCAGTTTCGCACATGGAAGGAGTTGGAAAGTGCTTTGTTGGCGCAATACCAAAGATTTGAAAATGAATTCCAGCTTCAAATGCAGATTTTAAATCGGCGTCAACTACCACATGAGAATTTTGAAGATTTTTATAATGATGTACTGCGGCTACGGACACAGCAAAAGTCGCCATACAGGGAGCACGAGATAGTGGAAATAATGAGAGGCAACCTTAAGCCGTCTTTAGCCCAAATGATCTTCTCGGCTCAGATAAATAGCTTGGGTGATTTTTATAGGCAGGTGAAGAAAGCCGAAAATCTGGTATGGACCCAAAGACAGCAACGCTACAACACACCACAGAAAGTGCATGAGCTTGAATGGCAGATGGAAGAGGAACCTCGAGGCGATATTGAAGTTGATGCCGTGACCATGACATCCAAGTATAAATGTTGGAACTGCGGTGTTATGGGTCATAGCTGGATGGAGTGCCGGGAGCCTCGAAAGATTTTCTGCTATAGGTGTGGCCAAGAAGGTGTTACCGTCCCCGATTGTCCGAAGTGTCAGGGAAACCGGCACAGGAACCCACCTCAGTCTGGGCAGGTGAGGTCAACCCCAGTTTAAGCCCAGAGCAGAGCAGAGTAGTAGTAGTTCCAGTATTAAAGTTTCTATTTTGAAAAATGTAGAGCAAGAAAGTAGAAAGTCAGAAGTAAAACCGAGATTGAGAGAGTTGAAACCACTTCATATCAGAGTAAGAGAATATTGCGAGGCGAGAGAAAGAATTTTTGGTCAAGTTTCCAATAAAATTAAGAAGGCTAGAGAGCGATATAAGAGGAGAAGACGCATTCGTCAGGAAATAGCCTCGGCTACCCTATTTGAAGGCGAAGATAATCGTTTATATACCAAACTGCATATCAATGGTGAAGAAATAGAGGGATTGCTAGATAGCGGAGCCTCCGTTTCCTGTCTGGGGAAAAATTGCCTTAGCTTTGTGGAGAGAGCAGGATTGGAAATTAAGCATTTCCATTCTTTTATTAAAACAGCAGATGGAAGCCCACATAAAATAGTTGGCAGGGTGACGACTAATGTAAAATTTAGAAAGCAGGAGCATCCTATCATATTCTATCTTGTTCCTTCTCTGAGCCGTGAGTTGTTTCTGGGGGTAGACTTCATGAAACGTTTCCAAATGTTTGCTCAGGTGGACGGTTTGTCACTCCAGGAAGTGAGTCTCTGTGGTGAGCCAGAGATCAGTGATGTTAACAGCCATTCTTTGTCCGAGGAGCAACGAGTTCGTTTGCAAATAGTGAAGGACAAATTTCCTTGCTTTACCAAGTATGGCTTGGGAAAGACTAAAGCTGAGGTCCATTCAATCGACACCCGCGATGCAACCCCGGTGAAAGATAGGCATTATCCCGTTTCCCCGGCTGTGCAGAAACTTATGTATGCGGAATTGGATAGGATGATAGAGCTAGGTGTGATTGAAGAGAGCGAGAGTCCATGGAGTCATCCGGTTACTCTAGTCCGAAGGGGCGAAAAGAACCGTTTGTGCCTGGACGCTCGCAAACTCAATGCACTGACGGTCAAGGACGCCTATCCATTGCCGCATATAGAAGGTTTACTCAGTCGGCTGGGGGATACCTATTTTATTTCTAGTGTCGACCTGAAGGATGCGTTCTGGCAAATTCCACTGGATCCTTCAAGTAGAGAGAAAACTGCATTCACAGTGCCGGGACGACCGCTTTACCAATTTACCGTCATGCCCTTTGGTCTGTGCAATGCAGCCCAAAGGTTATGCCGTTTAATGGATAAAGTGATCCCTGGCGCACTACGTGATAGAGTTTTCGTCTACTTGGATGATCTTTTGGTTGTTTCGCCAGACTTCGACACTCACATGGGATTGCTAGAGCAGGTGGCAGGTTGTTTGGCTAAAGCAGGACTCACAATAAATGTAACCAAGTCGAAGTTCTGCTTCAAAGAGCTTAGGTACTTGGGTTACATTGTTGGAGGTGGCAAACTTAAAACTGATCCGGCAAAGGTGGAAACAATAGTGAAGTTTACATACCCGAAAACAGCAAAGCAAGTGAGGAGTTTCATGGGTACGGCAGGGTGGTATCGAAGGTTCATTGCCGACTTTGCCACCATTGCGGCTCCCATCTTTGAAACCCTCAAGAAAGGAAAACGATTCACTTTCACAGAGGAGGCCAAGGTTGCATTTGACAAACTGAAACAAGCCCTTGTAAGTAGTCCTGTCCTGACACACCCAGACTTTAACAGACACTTCTATGTTCAGAGCGATGCATCAGACTTGGGAATAGGAGCAGTATTATTTCAAAGAGACGATGAGGGTGGAGAGCATCCCATTGCTTATTTTTCGCAAAAGCTGACTTCTGCTCAGAAAAATTACTCGGTGACTGAGAGGGAGTGTTTGGCAGTAGTGATGGCCATTAAGAAATTCAGGCCATATATAGAATTGATGCCTTTCACAGTTATAACTGACCATAGCAGTTTAAAGTGGCTCATGTCACATCGAGATCTGAGCGGAAGGTTAGCTAGATGGAGCCTACAGTTGCAGGCATATTGTTTTGAAATAGAGCACCGTAAAGGAACCCAGAATATAGTACCTGATACTTTTTCAAGATATGATATGGAGGAGATTTCTCTAGATGTGAAGACCTTAATCGATCTCGATTCCTTAGCTTTTAAAGCAGACGATTATTTAGCCTTAATAGAAACCATCAAAAACAATTCTTCACAACTTCCCGATCTAAAAGTGGTTGATGGTTTGGTATATAAACGAACTCAATTCTACGACGGAATACCCCTTAATGAAGATTTCGCTTGGAAGTTATGGGTACCCAGCGAATTGACCCAGCAAATCATTGAAAAAGCACACTGTCCACCACAAGTTTCTCATGGAGGTTTCCACAAAACTCTTCGTAGGGTAAAAGAGTACTTTTTCTGGCCAAATATGAACACTCAAGTTAGAAATTTTGTACAAAATTGTGATATTTGTAAAGAGACAAAACCAGCCAATTCGACTCTTCGTCCATCTATGGGAGCCGAGACTATTACAGAAAGACCTTTTCAACGAATTTATGTAGACTTCTTAGGTCCTTATCCCAGAACCAAAACGGGAAACAGTTTTATTTTCATTGTGGTAGACCACCTTTCAAAATACGTTTTGCTAAAAGCCATGGCCAAAGCAAATTCAAGAAATGTAGTTAAGTTTTTAATTAGTGAAGTATTTCATAAATTTGGAACCCCAGAAGTTATTGTGTCAGATAATGGGAAACAATTTATTAGCAAAGAATTTTCAGATATGATTAAGCTTTTTGGTATAAACCACACCAAAACTGCGTTTCACTCTCCGCAAGCAAATGCCTCGGAGCGGGTAAATCAATCTATTTTATCAGCAATTCGAGCATATCTGGGAGAAGATCACCGAGAATGGGATCAAAATTTATCAGAGATAGAATGTTCTCTGCGATCTTCTGTACATAGTTCCATCGGAACTACCCCTTATTTTGCGCTCTTTGGAGTCAATATGATAAATCATGCCAGTCTTTATAAATTAGCCAGGAAACTTGAACTTCTTAATGACCCCGAGACGACACTCATTCCAAACTCGGTAAAACAGAATCTTATTCGAGAAAAGATAAGAAATAGTCTGCACCAGGCATACTTGAGAAATGAAAAATCTTATAATCTTAGAAGTCGTCAGGTCAAGTTCATTCCAGGGCAAGAAGTTTTCCGAAGAAGTTTCAGGCAAAGTGATTTTAAAAATAATTATAATGCTAAACTTGATAAAAAATTTTTCAAGTGTCGCATTGTTAAGCCAGTTGGGAAATGCCTTTACGAAGTAGAAGATCTTAAAGGACATCCCATTGGCATTTTTCACGCTAAGGATTTGAAGCAATAAATGCTTACGAATTGAAGAAATTAATTTTTCTTCTAATTATTTTTTTTTTCTTTTTACATATATATAGCGACCGAAGTCTAACACATATATATATGAGAATAGCATTTGTTTTTTTTCTTGATTTAGCTAATCTAAATTCAGTTTTAAAATAAAGCGGAGATCTCAAAATGAAATACTAATCCGCTACGTATGCACAGGAAATATTTAAAATTTATCTCTTAATTCTATCTTAACTTAACTTAAAGTTACCTTAAGTTTAAATTTTTCCAATACTCACCTGAATTTTCAAAGAGTTCCGGAAGATCCAATTGAATAGTTAGTAGTAGTAGTACCTGAATTAAAAAAAAAAAAGTACAAATTTTATTACAATTATTTAAGATATAATGTTAAGAGGACTAACCTGAATTTCTACTTACGAAATGTCCTTTTAGTATTCCCGAATTTTTTAACAAGCTGTAGGACAGCTTTTCCTTCCTGAGTGATGTGTAGTTGTGTGAATGGGTAAGGGTTGAACCCAATTTCTCCAGTTTTTTGAGTCATAAAGGAAAAGAAAAAATATATGAATTAGTGAAATATCATTATGTAGGATTATTGGCGAAATAGAAAAATACGAATAAAAATGAACAACTTAAAAATAAAATTAAATTTGAAATGTCCATCCCAAGCCATACTTACAAAGTTTTTTTTAGCTAAATTTTGGTTATAAATTATGAAATTTAAGTTTATAAATAAATAGGGTTCTCATAATTTTTCTCATTTTCCAGAGCAAAATTACGAAAACTACGAAATAGAATTAAAACTACAACTTACGTTCATTTCTAAAGCGCCGACCGTAGTCCCACCACAAGTATCGGCTAGAACATTTGATGAAGTTCGGAACCCTGTTTTTTTTTCCATCCGAACAGGAGTCCAATCTTCTAGGCTCTAACAGCAGATGTCAGAATTGTGAAGTCAGAGTACGAATTAAAGCACTCTGGGTTTACCGACTCTAGTTGATGTCTGCGCATCCGGAGCAGTCAACTGGTGACTGTCTTTGACCATTAGTGCAATTCCCCTTTCGCGGTGAAGCAGTAGCCGTTCGCTCTTTGGCACGGGCCAGGGAACTGTTGTACACGAGGTCGCAGATCCGTCCTTCACCCGACTTACGACACTAGAGTCTGGAAGCCAAAAGACAAAAAGAACAAATACACGTCAGTGCATTTGCACAACATCGTATCCGACATTCTGACAAAAGCTGAAGGTCTAGTCGATGGTACACCTGCTGGAGAAAGAAAAAGGAGAACAGGATTAATCGAACTTACCATCAAATATAATTTCCTGGTTTCACAGGAGAGGCAAATTAAGTCGCATGTAGGTAATAAATGTCTGGAAAGATAAAAAAGGAAGTTATTACTATTTTTCTTATTAAATTATTAGCATTTCTATTTTTACTTACCTTTTTGTGAATGCAATATCCAATTTGAGTAACTTCTCTAGATGTCTTTTGATTATTGAGACCATGGAAAATTTTTTTCTTGCAACCATAGGAGGCCACTCGCCTAGACACCAACAGCAGCGGTCAGAAAGAATTCGTTGGATTACGAACGGAAGCATCCCAGATTTACCGACTCTAACAATATGTCTACGATTCCTGAGCAGTCACGTTGTGACTGTCCTTGACCATTTGTGCACTCTTCCTTTATATTCCCATACGCAACTATGGCACAAGGCAGAAGAGTGTTGTACACAAGGTCGCAGAGCTGTCAGTCATCGATTTACGACGTTAGAGTCTGGAAGGGGGAGACACGATCAAACACATCTAAATGCATTTGAAATAATATCGTATCCAACAATCTGACCAAAGTGTGGACCTAGTTGAGGGTACCCCTACAGAAAAAGAAAATATCAGGTCTCAATCTTACCTTTCGTTCAATCCAAACGTAGGCAGTCACCAATCTGAAAAGATAAGAACAGAAAGAGAAAGTATTAGTTATCTGTGAAAAAGAGGAAACTTTAAGTTAAAATCAAAATATAATTTAGAAAAAGAAAAATGAAAAAAAAAAAATTTAATTTTTAGGCAATCACACCGAATATGTCCGTCCGATTTGGATAACTTTCTCAGTTTATCATTATTAATTTTTCATTCAGTTTAATACTTTCATCAAAATTCAAAACATTTCACATAATTTGTCATATTAAATTTACTGAAGCCCAATTCTTGAATATTTTATTTTCAATTAATTCACAATAGCATTTCAATTTCATTCACTTTAATTTTTTTTATAAATTTTTGTTAGATACAGATTTGCACAGTTTTTAACTAGTAAAATCACTTTTTATGCTTTAATTGTTTTTTTTTAATCATGCAACTTTTTCATGGTTTAGTTCAATTAAATTCTTTGCACTTTTCGTCATTAAAAAAAAAAAAAAATAAACACAATATTTTCACAAATAATTTTTGTCCGTCCGATCACCTTTAACACAAAAATATTTATTTTTATTGTTTTCCTCTTTATTTTGTCTTGGTTCATTTTAAATTAATTTTTTTTATTAATATTTTCTTTTTTTTATTTTTTTCTTTCTTTGTTTTGCTTAGTAGTTTTTCATAGTTATATTTTCATTCACTTATTTTCACTTTTTGTTTTGATTCCGCAGTTTCCATTTTTAGATTGATTCTTTTTGCTCATTATCATTCTCTTTCATAATTATCACTCAAAGTTTAGTACTTTATTATCACTCATATTTTTCGAAAACCTTCTAAGTTTTCGAACACTAGGTTTCCGCCAAGCTCAAGTTTTTGAATAAGGCAATTTTTCATTTTACTTTTACACTATATGCACCCATACACTCACACACACTGGATTGTTTAATTTCATTTTATTTTTGAGTTTATAATTTTTATTATTCAATTATTTATTGTTCTTTACAATTTAATCATAATTTTTCTTAGAATTATTTCTTATTTTGTATTTCATTCATTATTTGCACTTGTAGTATTTTCACATACACCCGCACTGTATGTTTACAATAGGATTTTTCATTCATTAATCTTCTACACTTTAAGCACTTTTCACAATCACTACACTCACTTATTACAATAACCCGACACTTTCACGTATTTTTATTTAATTATTTTAATATTCACTTTAATTTTTTTCACTCTACTTACCATTTTATTTAATAATTTCTGCATACTCCATTTTCCGTCCGTCCGTGATCCAAGCCGCCAAATAATGTTGCCATTTAAGCGTCCCCAACGCTTTCATTCATAAAGTCAGTTGCCCATATGTTATATTGCGTCACACTAAACCGTAACGCTTGGCGTATGACGTCATTCTTACACTCGGTTTACACATGGTAAAACCATATATGAGGTTAACCGTTTACATGTGGCAAATAAAACATGATGTTTTAAATAATTAATTTTTGCTCCGAATTAATATTTAGGGTTGCCAGATCACAATAAAAGTAGGGATTTCGAATACCGATACTTTTAAAAACACCCAAGATGAAATTTTTGAATTATTTTTTTTTTATTTTTGTCGCACTTTTTTTCGCCCTATCCTTCGATAAGGATATCAGCAGGATAGTTGGCTTTGTGGTGTGCGCCTTTAAAAGGGGTAACCCTGAAAATAATTGATAGCTCGAAGAAGAAGAAGAACAATTACTAGGAAACAGCTGATTATTCCAATTACTTAAATGTCAATATTAGGGAATAATATAAGAAGAAAATGAGAAAATGGAAAAATTAAACGAGGAAAATGGCAGCCAGAATTTCCTGGCAAAAATTGTAAGAAAAATCTGCCCTTTTTGATTTTGCCTGCGAAGAAGATTGGATGCGTGGCTCCCTGTAACCGTCGAAGAAAAAAAAACAACCAAAGTTTTTGAGAAGTGAATTCATCTGGTTTATTTGTTGAAACACATACACAAACAACACAAAATACAAACTATTTTAAAGAAAATCTGAAGCCTTTAAATAATTAAGCAACATTAAACGAAAAAAAGGCTAAAAATTGAAAGGAAATTTATAACAAAACAAATAGTTTTCAAAAAATTGAAAATTAAAAGAAAATTGAACTTTTTTTAAAATTAAACAAAGTTTGAAAACAATTTAACAATATTGAAAAAAAAACCCCAACAATTGACTAAAATTCTAAAGCAATGAATATAAATCTTAAACCTAAAAATTCATGAAGAATTGGAGCCTACAAGCCACACCATCGCCCATCCAATCCATCGAGGGAGGCGCAGAGTTTACGCCATTGCTGCTCCAGCGTGGCTTGGTATCATTCCCAATTGACACTGAAACTTATTTAACTCCGGACAGACAGACGGACGACTAAGCTACATAATTAAATTCCGCGGTTTTTCCTGAAAAGAATAAATAAATTAAAAGGGTGAACAAACGAGTTAATATTAAATTTTTTACTTACTTTGTGTTGGTATGCAGGTACGCGACATTGAACTGAGCTCAATTCAAGGTTAGGTTACCAGGCATTGTTTAGATCGTCGATTTAATGTGGTATCGACCTACATTCCTTTGTTCGTCCTCATCTGGAATTGAAAGCAAGAAAATTATTATTTACATTCTGACCGAGGAATATAATTAAAAAGCTGAAACACGAACTAATTCGTACATACTTACGTTTTGGGAAAAAGCCTTAGTCACAAGCTGCCGTCAAGGTTCTACACTCTGGGTGCCCGCCGTTAAGCCCTAAAAGTACAAAAAGAAAAGAATACTTTCGAAAATTGATTTTTATTGGCAATTCTTTGTTTTTTTCTGAAATTTTTATATTATAATTCGCTGTAAATTGTTAGATTTTGATTCAAATTACGATGGAATGAATTGTTTTTTTTTTGCCAAATATGTAATATAGTTTTAATAAATATGTACTGGATTAAACCTGAAAAGATAAAAATGTCTTCGGCTTAAAGCCCTATTAAAAAGGTGGTGGGGATGGGATAAAATATGGTAAGTCAAGGGTCAGATCTGGGACGTCCAGTATGAGTAGACGTCATGGCGAGAGGTGTTCTCGGAGGGAGGGCTATCTCCTGGCTGGTCAGCCGCCAGGAGCACTGTTTCTGTGAAGAAAACTAATGTTATTTTGGGATTTGGTTGCAGTTAGGTGAACGTTTTCTTCTATTTAATTTTTTTTGTTGACATGTTTCAGGCTTCTTTTTACCCCCTTTTTGATTTAGTTTGAAGTCCGGTATGATTTTTTTTGTTTGTTCAACCGAAAAGATCTGCAAGTGGCAAGAACCAACCCCCAATCCGACGAGCCATAGCCGCGCTAAACGACAGCATACCGGCAACGCCACTTAATGGTCAACACAGCGATTTCATAACAAAACAACTCCGACTTTGGATCAATTCCATTGATAAGAACAAACATAAAATTTAGCAAATATGACTGAAAAAACTGTAAGGCAGCGACGTGTACAAAATACGAATAAGCAAAGTGAATTAAAAAAGGATAATAAGGATATACGGAAAAATAAAATGTTAGTATAAACAGAATAGAGTCGCATGCAAAAAATTAGTCTTCTAGAAACGATAATGCAATTATTAGAAACTTATAAGCCTAAAAGTATGCAACATAAAATATATCTAACAACAGCTATAATTTTCGATTTAGTGTTGCAATGACAACTAAGATTGGAAGACAATTGACACAAAATTCAGAAACCCGCCCAGGATTCTATCTGATGTATAGATCATATTAGAGGACGAAAATATATAAAAAAAAAAAAAAATTATGACTCCATCAAAAATTCAATAACTTTTCTTTCTTAATTCAAGTGCTGCCAACAATGAAGAGCTAAGAAAAGCCACCGGCTCATTTAAACATCGTCTATGGACACGTGCCGTTGTGGTCATTTCAGTAGCTGTGATTGTTTACTTTTACAAAATTGGTCAAACGAAAGAAACCAAATTTGCCTTAGTTAAAGAAAACTTGGCTTTGCGAATGCAAAAGTTCAAATGTTCCGAGGAGTATGAAAAAGAAATGCAACAATTTCCCCAATGTGTACCAACGAAATGTGGTCGTTTTGTGGCAGATAAATTAATTGAGTCGAATGAAGTAGAACAACTATTGGACATGGCAACAAATGTTATCAATTTAGCGGGATCTTCTGGTGGGGCATCTATATTGGACATACACTCGGGTGCATTATCCTATGGTGATAAATTTCTAAATATCTACCAAATGCCAGAGGCAAAGGAGCTGATAACGACGGAGCATTTAAGGACGTATAATGTAAGGAGAATATTGTTTTCGATTAGTTAATAATAGTAAGCTGGGTTTCGTAACCGTAAGACCCAGATGAGGTGATCGCAGTAATATGCTTGATTGTAATTCTAACATTTTCTCTCTTTATTTTCTAGCTGGTTAAGGGTAAAATAAAACTAGCAATAGCTGAGCATTTTGGCATTGCCGCTGAAGACTTGCATTTAACATACCCCACATTTTTCTCAAGAATAACAAATGCCACAGCCAAAACCATACACGATGAATATTGGCATGAACACGTCGATAAGGTACAAAAAAAAACTCATTTTTTACAATAAATCGACATATTTTCTTTTTAGGAAACCTATCCATCATTCCATTACACATCCTTGTTGTATTTAACAAGCTTCAAAAAGGACTTCAAAGGAGGTCGTTTTATATTCGTTGATGGTCAGGGTGAAAATCGTACAATATCCAGCGTGGAACCCAAAAGAGGTAGAGTAAGTGCATTTACCTCGGGCTGGGAAAATAAACATCATGTGGAACAAGTTAGCGAAGGCACAAGGTAAATTATAGTTTGTCATTTGCTAATGATTTCAATATTAATTTCGTGTTTATATTATTTCCACAGATTTGCTGTTACCATATCATTTAGCTGTGACAAGAAATTTTCCATAAGTGATCCAAAAATGCCGGCATTAAAAGAATAAATTCTAATTTTTAGATACGTCTAGCCACAGAGAGTCTATCCACCGCACCAATATATATTCCCTATCAATTAAAAAGGAGTATTATTTATTAAATTTAGTTCTAAATATATTGTTTATATACTTGAAATAATATATAGCAATCTTAATTAAAAAATATCATATTCTGTCTACATGATTTATTTGGTAAATATATTTTCGAATTTCTTATTCCTTAACTTAATTCCAAATTTTGAAATTTATCAAAATCGTAAAATCCAGCTCTTACTTGTCGTCCACCAAAGAAGCGACCATTAAGATCTACCACAGCTGTTTGCAAAATTGTCAATAATGTTTTTTAGATTATAAAATTAAAATCGAATGGTATTGTGTCCACAACTTACCCTTAATGGCACTTTCCATACGCTTAAATTCTACAAATATTTTGACGGCATCTTCTGGCGTCGTACCAAATGCTTCGTGTATTAACACCTTGACAACTTCTCCATATTTGGTATTGCATTCATCTTTAACTTCGGGTTCTAGTTCATCATCCACATCGCCTGGGCCTACCATGTTCTTTAAGTATTGGAAATTTTGTTAGTTTCGAGTATTAATTGAAAATCAAGTCTCAAATTAATATGAGTATATATAAAACTATTTATTCAACATTCGAGTCCATGGTTTGTATCATAAGAATGAATAGCTCATACTAATAGCTAGAACAAACATATTTCTGCCAGACATATGGTCTGTTGCCGTACTGCAAGAATCTACTACGTTTTACTACGATAACGAATTTTCCTTTATGATATCGAAGAAAATAGTAATATCGAGTAGATTCTTGCAGTACGGAACAGACCAATAGTAAGCACAACTTACCCTCAATAAAACAACTTTGCTTGGGGCTTTCATAATTTCTGTTATACTTGGATTCGAATTCGATTCACCACTTGCTGACGAAGTTGATGGCGGTGGTGGTGCCGCCGGAGGAGCCATGTTAGCAATTGGACTAGCTGCAGCTGGGCTACCACTCCCTGCTGCAGGTGGCGTTGGCGGAGGCAAGAATACATCACGTTCATGTATAATGCGTCCGCCACGCTTTGAAGTCTTTTCCACTTGCAAAGCCATGGACATACCCTGCTCTTGCTTGCCCAAACCTTGACCATCTTTAAAACCATATTTGGCCATAATTTTGGCCGCAACTGAACTAGCAGAATAGGGTATAGTAACGTTCGACGATGGATCACCCTCATTGGCAATTGAGATTTCCTGCAGTGAGGGAGGCGGAGCAATGGCCACACCACCTTTTGCCTGTCCACCAACACCAGCCGTCGTTGTGGGTGGACTATAACGATCTTCATCGGTAATACGCTGTCCGAAACCGCTAAATTTGACCGGTGGTGAATCGCGATTACGTGAATTTCTACGATTACGTTTACGATCACCCCGATCGTTTTGTTCACGTCCACGACCCCTATCACGGTCATCATTACGATTTCTATCCTTAAGACTTTGCCGCTTCTCTTTTAGTTTTTCATATTCATTTGGCCATGCCGGGTCATATTCATCGACAAAATCCCAATCATCGGTTTTTATGTTCTCCAAAGAAGGCACCAATGGTTGGGCCTTGATTATGGGTTTTGTTTCCGATAATGGCTTGGAAACGGTTATCTCCTCGGGCGATTGAATTTTCTTTGCCTTTAAATTAACCACTGGTGTCATTAACTGGAAAAAATCAAATAGTTTTAATAGAGACTATATTTCCAAGTATTTCATTTACTACCCACCGGTTTCTTAGGCTGCTCCTTGGTTGTGGCCTTTTTTATTGCCAACTGTGTTTGCAACATTTTAATACCCGAAGACCAGCCATCGATTTGTGAGGCTTTGGGTTTTGTATCTATGTCATCATATAAATCCATGCTTTTTAAATATTTTTCAGTTTAATTTCTTCTCAATAATCAATGTTTTCTATTTGTTTACTAAAATCTTCACGTTCCATTAAAATATTGAAAAACGTTCCACTTTCTAAAGAATGGGAGAGAAAACAAAATGGCCAATAAAGAAGAATTTAAAGTAGGATGAAATATTTACGAATGAGTTGAAGAGACGGAGACTGCATGCATGTACGGCCACTGTCCGTGTGAATGCCAAAGTGTTTAATTCAGTGATTCACGGAAATGAGCGACTGAACTAGTTCAATTCAATTCGTCGTTCTTTTTATTACTAGTTGAATTTTGCAAGGTCTATAGGGGAATTTTGACATTTGTGAAATTAATCAGCATTAAAATTTTAATTGCAATTCGATTTTGCGAAGAAAACGCGCATCTTAGTTCAATGTAAAAAATATGCCAAATGAACTCCTCGACTTGTTGCATTTGACATAACAAGCCTCAAGGTAGAGGCCTACTTTTCCAATAAATAAATCAGATATATTCTATAACTTTTTGGATTCAATATATAAGTAATTGAATGCAAAATTCCAGGAGTTTCCAATTAACGGCCATTTTAATTAACCAACAACCTAAATGTTTGGACGACCGTCAAACTGCGCGGCTTAATTGGATAGTCCTTAAAGTCCTCTTTTAATTAGACATAGCTCACATACACAAAATTTACCAGATTTGTAAATATTTCACAAAATAAACACATTTTTCGCCTTTTACGGGTTCTTCCTCTGGACGACCTTCCCATTGGAAGATGAGCCATGAATCTCTCGTAATTATGAACACCTATCTGTTGCAAATTGTTAAATTATTATCTAGTATAAAATTGAAAATAGACTCATCACTGGAATTAGTATTGCTGATTCCCTGATGGAAATGGTGAGCATTAGCATCACATTCTAGGGTGTATTTGCTTCCTCCAGCTCACTTAGCAGCTTCGGGAGAATTTCTTCAGGTGGACCCGGCTCCTCGTAAAGTAACCTGAAAGTGGGGTTAAATTTTCTTGACAAAAACAAAAAATACGATTTTACCTTAAGAGGGAAACACATGCGAGGATTCAGGCCGGGCCTCTTTAGTTGGCTTTGTATGCAATGCCAATTTTTAAAGGAATATTAGAGTTTGACACCGTTCTCCTTAATTATTTTACAATAAAATTAGCCAACTTAACATGCATGCGTAGTTTTTGTCCTCGAGTACAGTTTACCATATTTATGATAATACAAGGCTCTTAGATCAATGTAATGTCTGCTTTTTTTGAGAAGCTCCACTGCCGCAGTCCAACAATGATGCAGGTTTATATTGACCACCTTCAGATGCCATTGTATTTTCTTGTTTTTGTGATGAGGGGAGGCGGAAGTGAATAAGCCGCAAACCCATACATCACAGTGATCTTTCTACTCCTCAATTATTCCACTCCCGCTATGTTCGCGGAGTATTTGACCATCATACCGTCGTTCTTCCTAAATGTGTTTAGATTGCGCTGCCTACCCATATGGCGGTGTGCTTCTCGACCATTCATAAGCTATCGTACCTCAGGGGATCTTATTTAATGATGCAGCCGAGAGTTTTCAACCGTCCCAAAGAGGTTAAAGCCCATTTTGAGGTCGTAATAAGGTAGACGGGTACTCCTAATTACCGCAGTTTATGACTGCAACCGATCATTATCCTGCTGTTAGGGTCAGCTTTTTCAATTATGACTACTCTCTGGTCATCTTGTTTTTTCTTTAGTAACAGGATTTGAAGGTTGCTGTTACAATTTGCCGCTAGGTCCGAATTTCGTTTTCCCTGTTGTGCCTCCCCACTTCCTTCTTTATTCGCCAATAAAGCCGCCTTTGAAGTAGCCCTGAAGGTTCCTGTGAAGACTTGTCAATAGATCCGACTTTCGCCTTCCCAATGACTGGCTTCCGGTCGATCGGAAATTTGGTATTACTGTCAATATCTAACGGCCCTTCAATACGACTTCTTTTGGTTTGGCACTTTTGGGTGTGTTTTAAAGTTGCTTTGAAGCACTCACTTTTAACTTCTATCCCTTCAAGCCGACGGGTTCCCCTTCGGAGTAACCCACATGAGTCAATCAAGAAGTCTCTAAGAGTTCTATTTGGGTAGTTTCTTGTGAACATTGGAATGAACTTGAGATTCCTCTCGATTTAATATATCAATTCCAAAACGTATACATCAAATAAAATCCACGTAATTTACGAATATGATTTACTTCATGCTACATTTAAAATCAAAGGAATTTCGTGGTCTAAACGTGCTTTAATCGTCTTTGTTTGTTTTTGATTGTGCCATGAGAACACTGTTGCATTACGTACTGTTATCAATGATTGCATGTGAGCCACCCATTAACGGAAACGGTATGCATGTTCAATACAAAAACCGTCGTTATAGAGATTTCAAATAAACAACCTGTTTTTTATTCACAAACAAGTTTTCGAAATATTTTTCAAAGACGAAGTTTGCCTTTGGTTTTTAATTGGAGAAATATTTAACAAAAAATATATTTTCCACAAATACTGAAAACGAGATTGTTAATAACTTCAATAAAAAAATATATATTTACAATGTCTGCGAGAAAACAAACGGAACCCAAAGAGATTTTGGGTTTGAATCGTATAACGAAAAAGCGCATTTTAGAATTATGTAAACGAGATAAGCTGTATCAGACTCCAAAGCTAAATGATGTCCTATATTTGCATTATCAGGGTATGTATGCAAAAATCATTTTTCAATATTCTAATTCAATAAAAATAGTTATCTATATACATATGTATATATCATTTCTCCTAATGTCAGGATTCCAATGCATTGAATGCCTAGAAGATTATACGGAATTAAAATGCTTGTGGCTCGAATGCAATGCTATCTCGGAGATACAGGGTTTGGAAAATCAAACCAAATTGAAATGTCTCTATTTGCAAAGCAATTTAATACGGAAGATTGAAAATCTAGAATTTTGCAAGGAATTGGATACCATCAATTTGTCACAAAATCAAATAAGGAAAATTGAGAATTTAGGTATTGATGTTCTGCCGGTTCTGAATACTTTGAATATTGCATCGAATTACATAAAAGATGCCGAGGGCTTACGAGATTTGGAGAATTGTAAAAATCTTTCGGTATTGGATTTATCAAATAATCGCATCGATGATATTTTGGTGGTAAAGGTGGGTAGGGGCTATGCGGTGGTGGGAAATAGATATATATTTTTAATTGATATTATTTTCTAATTGAAGGTCTTTGCCAAAATGCCGGAATTGAAAGTTTTGGTATTACAAGGTAATCCTGTGGTCTCGAAAATCCCACAATATCGTAAAACTTTAATATTGGAATGTGTAAGTTGATTCAAAATAATTTCTTTAAATTATTTTACCAATTAATTATATTTTTTTCTTTAGAAAAAACTGACCTACTTAGATCAACGACCTGTTTTTCCCAAGGATCGAGCTTGTGCCGAAGCTTGGTAAGTATAATATATTGTAATTATATATTTGGTTCTTCAAAATATAAAAAGGAAAATATATAATTTCTTTGATATGGAACGATTTTTACAATCGATTGATTGGAATTCTAGATTTCTTCGAAAATCGTCATTCCTTCCTAATATTTGATATTATTTTAGCTTAAAAAATCCAAGCGTTTAAAGTCGAAAATAGGGATATAATCTGAAAAAGATCAACGTCATATTCTTACTACAGGTTCTGCAGGTAAAATGAGGTTAACGGCATATTAAATTTGACATTCCGTTTGCAGCACCTCATCATCGGATATCCCATAAATGTATATTAAGAAAGGGTGAAATGATTGACTGACTTAACGATTCGTCAATGCCTAGACGGCTGAAACTAGAATCTTGTCATTTTATGTGAGGCTCACTCTTAGTCTAAAGGTTTCAGATAAGGCTGAATTTTTAGAAAATTGTACTAGAACGGCACGAAAAGTACTAAATGTGGTACCATTTGTATTTGACGAACCGGTAGAGCTAGAACCCTTAAATTCGAAATGAGGGTCACAGATGGAGTGTAGAATAGATGTAGCAAAGGGGTTTTTTGGATACTCGAACTAAAAGTATCCGAAAAGTACTAAAATGTACTAAATTTGATACAAGTTCGTAGCATGTGAATGGAAACAACTAAAAAATTTAAATTTGGAATGCAAACTAGGGTCGATATAAAGATATAAGCGTGTACTCATTTGTACGAAAAGTACTAAATGGTACTATATTTGGTACAAATTTAATTTGAAGGTACAAATCGAGCTGGTATCCTGAAAATTGAAATTAACATTACCGTCGTAGTGTAGGATTGGTATATGTACGTAGTTTTGGAATTTTTGTTTACTTATGTGTACGAAAAGTACTAAATCGTACTATAATTGGTACCATTTGGATTTGGGTGAACCGATAGAGCTGAAACAATAAAATTTGAGGAGCGTAGGATTGGTGGTGTTGAAATGTGCCATTTAGGAAGTTTTGGAAATTCCTACTAATGTGAACTAAATTTGGTACAAATTAAATTTTGAGTGAACCGAATTTGTACTAAATGGTACCAAATGTGAATCTGGGTGAACCGATTGAGCTGGAATCTTGAAACTTGACGATGAGATTACTGTTGCGGTGTAGGATTGGGCTTTGTAGATAGTTTTTGAAATTCGCACTAACGTGTACTAAATTTGGTACAATTTAAATTATGGGTGAACCAATAGAGCTGGAATCTTGAAATTAGGAGTTAGGGTCACTGTTGAGGCGTAGGATTGGGATATGTAGAAAGTTTTGAAAATTAATACTAATGTGTACAAAATGGTACCAAATGTGGATTTGGGTAAACCAATAGAGCTGGAATGCTGACATTTCGAAATAATGTTACTGTTGGAGTGTAGTGGGGTATGGATGTAATTGGTTTAAATTCATATTTATAGGTACTAAATTTGGTACAATTTGAATTTTGTGAGAACTGATGGAGCTGTGAAATTTGGAATTAGGATCATTATTGGGGTGTAGGATTGGGTTATGCAAAAAGTTTTGGAAATTGGCACTAATGTGTGCTAAATGGTACCAAATTTGGATTTGGGTGAACCGATAGAGCTGGAATTTTGAAATTTGATCATAGGATTACTGTTGGGGTGTAGGATTGGGTTTTGTAGAAAGTTTTGTAAATTCGTACTAACGTGTACTAAATGGTACCAAATTTGGAGTAAGTTATATATATATATATATATATATATAATAAGTAGCATACGAAATTTTAAAAATGGTCGTTATTATAAGGCCCAGACGAAACGGGTGAAGTTGGAATCTTGAAATTTTGTATGTGGGTCAGTATTGGTACGTAGTTAAACATTAAGACTTGATTTTATTCGTAAGTTTGAAAATCAACACTCAGATGAAACGACTGAAGCTAAAATCCTGACATTTTGTGTGAGAGTCAGTATTGCCACATAGGCGTGTGATAAGGGGAAATTCGTACATAAGGGTAGAAAAGTACGAATATGTACTAAAATGACTACTTCTAATATCAGCGTCCAGAAGAAACGGTTGAAGCTAAAATCTTGAAATTTTGTATGTTGAAAGTCAAAGTTTCGAAGGTGTGTGATAAGACTGTAATACAAATTGTAGCACTGATATGGATTGAACGGATAAGTCCAGTACTTTGAAATTTGGATTGCAGAATATATGTGCAAAACGGTTTTTGGAAACAAAGTGTAGAAAATGTACTTAAATGAATCATACCAATTAATATTGATATTGGGTGAATGTATAAACCTAGAATATTGCAATTTTGTATGCCAGGCGTAATATGGTGGTGTACGAAACTCGCCCTAAAGTAGTACGAAAAGTACTAAATGTAACTAAATTTAGAACAATAGGTAGTGCTGAATGCATAGAGATATATTCATGAAATTAAATATGTGGAACGTTGTTGCCGTACAGGGTAGTTGTAATGAGGCTGTTTTTGATAATTTGTATGACAGTTGTACGAAATGTTTAAAATTCGTGCTATAAATGTACAAAAAGTACCAAACAGTGCTCAAATTGATAAATTAGTTGCTGTACAGGTTTGAGGTTAGGAGTTGGATTTGCAAATCAGTTCTGAAAGTGCAAAATTATTTGTAACCTAACCTAGTTATATTGGTACATTTAGTAGTTAACCTTAGAATTGATGTACAGAGCTTCGGTTAGGGTGTGGATTTCCTTATTACAGCAGTGAGTGTAGCATAAGTTGTATATTGTGCTAACTTAATACTTTAAGTAGGAGGCGAATTAATGGAACTTGAACATTGGTAGGAGGATCTCTATTGTGTCGATGTCAAGTCTAAGTGAATTTTGATAGCGAACTTGAGAAGCAGTTGATAGTGTGTTGTGTTGTAATTGCATTTGAATGTAAAAATTAGTATACGAAAAGTTCTAAATGGTACTAAATTTAGTGCAACAAAATCCTGTAATTGAGTATTTTGAATATCGTTGTTGTTAAGGTTTGAGAGGAGGATCCGGAAATACGTACTTTTTTCTGTAACTGACAACGGGGTCCATGGCTTTTTTATGGTGATCATTAGTATAGTATAGGTTTATTGTGCATGTTGAAAGAGTTGGATGTCATAAAAAATGATTGTACTAAATTTAGTACAATTAATATTTAATCAGGAATAAGAATGTAGATTAAGTGTTTGATGTTCGTATCATTAGTTTTAAGGCTAAGGCGAGTGGGAAGTTTTGGAAGTTCGCACTAAAATTGTATTAACAATTATTTTTGGGTGTATATGGTTTAGATAAATTTAATTATAGTAAACATACATAATACTGTAAATTTCGTGCAGTAGATGATGGCAAGGTGTGAGGTTAAAAATTGATTTTGGAAAATTTTACTATATGTGAGTAAAATATGTTTTTGACATTTTTAAGTTATTGAATTGAGTTGCAATTTTAATATTTTGTATGAACATTACTAGCGCATATGATTTTCGGAAATTACTAGCGCATATGATTTTCGGAAGTGTATGAAAAATACTAAATTTGGTACATGAGATATAAAGCAGCAATCTTGAAATTTCAATTGAGAATTGTTGTGATTTAGAAATTTATGCTTAACTGCAACAATTTGCAAAAATTTCGCGGAGAAATATAGCACAAATCTTTAATTTTGTTTTTGTTTGTTGAAATATGAAGGGGAATTTCAAAGTACATTAGTACAATAATGGTACTATTTTATTTTAATTGGAATTTGGTACTATTAGTGTACGAGAACTTTGGTAACTTCATAACTTCAATACAATTGGTTATTTATAAACTTGTAGAGGTAAATATCTAAAATTTTTGTACTCAGTGTTAGATTACTATAATGATTTAGGTTGAAATTTGTATATATGTATGAAAAATACTAAATACTACGAAATATGGTGGTTTTTTAAGTGATAGAACCAATAACAGCCGACAGCAGTGAGTTTTTCCAAAACTGCTCTACACTACAGTTGCTATCCAGCTTGTAGGTAAGCTCAAGGCCTAGCCTTTCACAGTAGACGCCAGTCTCTGTACCTTCTTCCATTTTGGATCCTTCTGTATAAAAAGCCAGGTCGTCCAGAGGAGGGTTACTACGGTTCCAGTCGTCTCTACTAGGGGTAACGACATCTATATCTTATTTGAATCGAGGCGGCTCTTTGTATCTATCTAGTTTGCTGGATGTCGACTTGTGGCGCAAGCAGTGCCACCAAAGGAATGGAAGGGCCTTACCACCGTGTTTTACAACCAGTGTAAAGTAGTTAGCATCTCGCATCTCGTCCGACGAACTTGCGAAGATACGATACGGCACGTTTGTAGTGCTTCGCATCGGATGCTTCTCGGGCAGTTGCGACCTTTGAGGTTATTAACTCCCTGTACCGTAACTTTATTTCTTCTATAATTTTTGCCCATCTTAGTTGAATATTTTAAGGGCACTACCCCGATCCATTTGGAGATCCGAAGATCCCCAATTTTTCGACGAAGTACAGAGAAAAGGTCCGGGCAAGTTTGACCTAGGTCAGCTCCACCCTGCACATTGCACATAATGTTGTCTTTTGTTAACAGGCATGTCAAGTTCGAAGATGGGATATATTGGTCGACATTGAGGCATAACTTATTATGGGGTTCTTAAGCGTATTTTTCATTCAAACTTGCTGAAATTTGGTACATTGTGTTCTTATTAAGTACCAAAATTCTCCACTAAAAATTATAAATATCGGTCCACGGTTTTGGTAGCCACCATATGACGCCTTATTTTTTCGACTGAATTCCCTATAATTTAGTACTTTGAGGAATTATTGGGTAGCTAATCTCTACTTACTTAGCTAGTTTATGACAGAATGGTTGTTTAATAAGCCGAGCTTAAAAAAGATTTCCAAGCGCGTCGGTCTTGTGCGCATCTCATCCAATTTGAAAGACCATTTTCCGAGATGTTTTCTTCTACTTCGACACAGGACGCAGGATACTGAGGTTCCAATCATTGGGCATGTATTCCTCTAGCCAAATTGTACTGACCACCGGTCTTAAATAGTTTGGCTGATAATCCATCGGTACCTCATATAATGATAACTCCAAATGTTCGGTAATTCCTACATTGATCCTGATGTAGATATAGCCTCCAGGGACATACGAAAACAAACATTTTTATCCAAAAAGTCGGCCTGGCCGAACTTGTTTTCAATTGTTTTGATTGTTGTACTTCCTGAGACGAATTTTAGGTTATCTCAAAGATTCAAAAATAAATCTTATAGATTTTATTTTCTAATTTTCTCAGGAAACGTGGTGGCTATGAGGAGGAGCGTAAAGAAAACGAACGTTGGAATCGTCAGGAGCGGAGAAAAATGAGAGATAGTGTCAATGGTAAGTGTGTACATTTAATTCAAGGAACCTCTAACTAAGTAAATCCTTATTCCTATGTAGCCACCATTCGCATGCGTAACAAACATCGTAAACCCGAAGATCACATGACCCTGTTAGTATCCTCCGATTCGGAAGATGAGACGACACAAAAGAAACGACTACGTCAACAAGACGTTTTGGATGCCGGTGTTGATATGGAATTGTGTATATGGGATGAAGTAGCCGGGGATGATCATAAAGTGGAGGTTTATGCTTCTTCATCGTCCTCATCTGAGATGAATGTTAGCTCATCGACATCTGTAATAAGTACGACGGATTCAAATGAAACAAAGTCCAGTGATTTAAATGAATCCAAATCGAGTGATGGTGAAGGCAGGTCTTCGAAGGATGATGATGGTGATGTGAAGGATAATGATGTCATTTGTCTGGCAGAGAAACAAAGTATGGGAGAGATTTTAAGTTATGTTCATAAGAGAAAGCTGGGAGAGAGTGAAGAGAATATTGAGAGGGATGTGGGTAAGGAAGAGGAGATAAGACAGAAGGATAATGATGTTACAAAATTAAATTACAATGTGGAAAAAGACAATTTTGAAAGTATAACTTCGTATGAGGAAAGTCCACAAAGAGAACCTTTGAATTCAGGTAACGATTACCCTGCCAAGGAGGGTTTAAAGATCATCTGTGAAGAGGATGAAAAGGCCTATGAGGAATCGGCTCTTACAAAATCGAATCTCTTGTTGGAAGCTGAAATTCCCGGAGGAGTGGTTTTTGATAAAGAATTTGCTCAATCCGGACCTTTGAATTCCGATGCTGAAGCTATTATGAATGCCACCATGAACATCTTTGTGGAAAATGAAATTCTGGAAAGGGTGATTTCCACAAAAGAAGTTTCTCAATGCGAACTTTTGAATTCCGATGATAATTGTTCTGCCAAGGAGGTATTCAATGAAACCCTGGAAACAATTATGAATATTACCATAAATGATTTGAATAAAGGAAGTCCAAATTCCGACAGAAGAGTTAAAATCCCGATAGAAGGGGGTTTCAAGGCCATCAATGATAAGCATGAAAACGCCTATGAGGAATCGACTGTTATAAAGTCGAACCTCTTTGGGGGAATTCCGGGAAGTGTTATTTCCAACAAAGAAGTTGCTCAGGGCGAATTTTTGAATTCCGACAATTATTGCTCCGACAAAGAGGTATTCAATGACACCCTTGATGCCATAATGAATGTCACCATGAATGATTTAAACAAAGGAAGTCCAAATCCCGACCGGAGAGTTTTTCTGCAAATTGAAACGGACGATGATAGCTATGAAGTCCTGGATGAAATGGAAAAGGCAATGCAACAAATGGAATCTGAATATGGAGTGTCTAAAATAAATTCTGATCAAAATTCCTCTCTGTTACCCGAAAATTCTCAAGAAAAAAGGCAGGATGACGTTGAGTATTCCGCTGAAACTATTGAAATGTGTAATAATTTGGAGGCCATTTCTAAAAATATGGATTTTCAAATTGTCGAATTGCAAAGAGAACAAGAAGAAAGGAAGGAAGTTTTAGAGGCATTATTTTCTCAAAATCAATCCGCTCCTGGGATGAGTAGTACTAGTAGTAGTGAGCATGATTTGGCAATAATGGGAGAAGAAAACAAATTACAGTTGATTGTCGATCAATGGGATAAGGATACGAAATTGAAAAAATATAAACATGATGGGAGTCATCTAAGAGAATCAGGTACTATACAACAAATCAAAGCGAGAAGTTTGAATGATTTGGGAGAAAGTTATGATGACAATATACTTCAAGGAGAAAATGTAATACGAAAACAACAAGAAGAGGAAATAGAAATGGAATTCTCAACCAGCAACCAAAAAGAGAGTAATAATTTGAGTGATAATATTAAAATAGAGAATTCATCACTGGAATGTCGTGATAATGCAGAGAGTATTTCAAACGGAGAAGAGAACTCAATTATTTTCAAATTGGGAGGAAAAAATTCAATAGGTTTTCAAAATCCTTTGAATAACGCCAACGATTTTCAATATCAGCCACTGGATATTGCCTCGCTTACGAGAGCCTCGAATAAAGCCTTAGATTCTTTGGAAAGAGAAACCAAAGAGCTTATGGCTCTATTACAAAAATTGGAGGATGATAATGAAGAACAATTCAGGGGGAGTACTCAGCAATTAGAAGAAATTAATCACAACATTTCGGATGATAATAAAAAAGATTATGACGCGAATGAACAATTAATGAATGACAGTTATGATATTTACAAAGAGAGTAATGAAATGGAACGAGAAACTAAGAAAGGAAATAATGAAGAGAATGATCATCCCAAAGAGATCTTTGAAAATAAAGAAGAGAAGTATGAAGAGAGCATAAATTTCAAGGAGAGAAATGATTATATTCTAATGAAGGAGACTAAAATAGAAGAGACGTTATCGTACCGTGAAAAGATAGAGCCAACTGAAATCGTTGGAGAACATAGCGAAGGAGGTTATGAAGAGAATATACATTCAGAAGATACGAAAGAAGAAACAAATGAACAAATAAAGAAGGGAACTTTTGATGAAATCATCCGTAGAGAGAACTCAGAAATCGTAAGAGTAGATAAAGAGGAACACTATGAAGAGTGCATAAATTCCATCAAAAGAAAAAATCATACTCTTACGAACGAGATTAAATTAGAAGAGACATTATCGGACCGTGAAAACAGAAGGCTACCTGAAATCGTTGGAGAACATAGCGAAGAAAGTTATGAAGAGAACATAATTTCACAAGGAAAACAAGAACATCTGGATGTACAAATAAATAAGGAAAGTTCTAATAATCTTTGTCAAAGAGAGAACTCTGAAATCGTAAGAGAAAAGGATGAGAAAAACTATGAAAAGAGTATAAATACTAACGAGAAAACTGCTAATAGCCTAAAGAAAGAGATTAACATAGAGGACACATTATTGGACCGTGAAAACCAAGAGTTATGTGAAATCGTTAGAGAACTTAGCAATGAACGCACTGAAATTGCAAGAGAACATATCAATGAAGTATGTTATAAAGAGAGTATTACTGCAGGAGAACACGATATCGCTATGTCCAAGGAGATTGAACTGCAAAGTGAAAAGGAAAAGCAGCAATTCCAAGCTGAACACTATGAGATCGTTAGAGAACATAGTGATGAACTCAATGAAATTGTTACAGGATATAGCGATGGACGCAATGAAATCGTTAGAGAGCATAGCGGACTAAGTTATGAAGAGAGTATAACTGCAGTAGGAGAAGAAGATATTGTTATGTCCAAGGTTAATACATTTGCGGAAGAAAATGAAGAGCATAAATTCCATGCAATTACATACCAAACTGAACACAATGAAATAGCAAGAGAACGTAGCGATGAAGCATTTTATAAAAAGAGTATACCTGCATCAGGAGAACACGATATCGTTATATCCAGAGAGATTACTGTGCAGAGTGAAAATGAAGAGCAGCTATTCGATGGAATGATATGTCAAGCTGAAATGGAAAATTTTGAAATCGAAAGATATTTAAACAGGGAAGATTTTGTGGAAAAAGAGAAGAATGAAACAAGTAATGATGTGCCCACTATAAACAATGAAAGTCAGAGAGAATTTAAAGAAGAGAATCATGAAGAAAATAATACAAATAAAGAGAATGTATTGATGGAAGTAGATGGTGATATATTAGTAACGGATATTAAATTGGAAGAAACAAAATTAGAGAATGAGAAAAATAATACAATGGAAGGGCCGAAACTAAAGGAAGCACTGAGAAGCAGCGATTCTCTTTCCAACAACATTAAAATTGAAGAGACTGAATTGGAGAAACACATGAGAGAAAAGGGCGGTGCCAAGATTATTAAATCGGATGAAACAATACGAGAGCATGCATTGAGAGAAGACACTGGCGATAATATGTTAAATAATATAAAATTGAAAGAGACAAATCTAGAGAGAATAACTGATGATCAATTGAAAAATATGGAGGGGTATTTAAAGAATGAAATTGGTGATTTAATTATTGTGGCCAGTGAGAAAAGAGAAAAATTGGAAGAGAAATACGCTCAGGAAAAGGATGATAATTGCAAGGAGATTTCTGATCAATCAAAAAGGAACAGTGATAACTTCATGAGAGATACTGGTGGGGAGGATATACAATTTTGTGACAATTTGATGAATGAAAATGAAGAATATTCCAAAGAGAGTATCAAAGGAAATCTTAATGATATTTTGAGAGATGATAACAATGAAGATTTAATATCAGTGAAAGAGTTGGAGAACACAAAAGAGAATGTTAACGAAGAAAATAGAAAATCTTGTGACAATTTGGAGAATGAAAATGAAGAATATTATAAGGAGAGTATCAAAGAGAATGATGATATTTTGACTCAAAATAATGAAAATATGATATCACTGGAACATTTGGAGAATAAGGACGAGGAAAATATCAAAGACAGTTCAGATCATTCAAACGGTAATGGCAATGACGATTATCTTGATAATATAGAGAATTCAAAGTCCAAGATTGAGACAGTTCTGAGTACTGAGGAGGTAAAATCGAATCAACTGATTGCAGAGGAAATAACAAATTTTGAAAATGATCAGGATAGAGAAATAATGGAGCGAAATTTGAGTGACATAAAAGTATGGGAAACTGAAAAGAGAAACATCGTAGACGTGGATGGAAAATTGAATACAAAATCTCAGAGAAATCAAAGAGAAGAAATAATAGAACAGAAATTACCGAAAACTAAAGAGAATTTAAATACAAAATCGGAGCCTAATTTAAGAGCAGGCATACATTTATTGAAAGAAAATATAGAGAATTTTGGAACAGATCTAGGGTGTTCGGATATGGAAAATGATCTTATTTCTAGAATTCGAAAAACTGAGTCCATTTGGAAAATACCAATCAAGAGCGCAATGTCCTCTAGCCAAGAAATCACAGAAAAACGTAGTGATGATGATGATGAGTGTACGGAAACTCCCTCCCCTGAAAATTCTGAATTACAAAATTTACCCCTAACCAAGACCATCCATGAAGTTTTAGAATCTCTGGCAGATGTTTTTAAAGATTTCCCCCGGCAGCAACGAAAAGTTGTGAAATCTACGGACAGCGAAAAAAGAGAAAGTTTAAAGAAATTAGTTGAAAATTCCAAATTGAAATCCCTTTTTAATCAAGATACCCATGAAAGCTTGGATAAACTACTTGGTGAATATAAGAAACAACAGGAGGTTGAACTTAAAGAAATGGTAAATCGGGTCTATGCCCAAAGGGAACGTTATGATGATACCATTGAATTGATTGATGGTAAGCTGATGATTGTCAATAGGGATACTGGGGAGCTAAAGGAGTTAACAAAACCTTCGAAGGGTATTATTTATTCGGATAGCGATAATAATGATTATGATACTGCAGAATCGGATCAGGAAGAGGATGGAGCGTGTTGTAGTAAGCCGAGAAAAAGAACGAATAATAAGGAGAGGAAATTGTCTATTACTCCCAATGATACTGCGGCACAATTCTCATCTTGGAAATCCATTGAGAGTGAGGCTAATGAGGGGGCATGTTGCAGCAAACCTAGAAAATCAATGGTAAAATCTGGTGCCATTTTAAGCCATAAAAATTCCTGGAACTCTATTGAAAGTGACACAGATGAAGGGGATGAGGAACAATTTTATTCTCTCGTTCCTTCTTCGTCATCTATTATTTTTGATAATATTCATCCGGAATTTTTCGATAAGCTATCATTTGATCATTTGACCATGACCCAACAGGATGGAGATCATATTGTACAGTGCTCACGTAGCTATACGGAGTTGAAAAATCTCTTTACCCGGCCGCAAAATGAGAAAATATTAACTCAAGAAGAGCGTAACGTTTGGGAGAGATTACAAGAAAATAATACACATTCTCAAACACGCGATGGAACATCAAACGAAGAGAATAAAACTGTAAATACCAGTAATGAGAAATTCTCTGAGAGCAACAATGAAGAGTTACTCTTAAATAAAATGTTACAGAGAACAAAGAAAAGAGAGTTTGTCAAAGAGGGAAATTCAAATGACAAACAAATGGATTTTATTGTCGAAATTAAAAAGTCTCAGGATGGAGTTAAATTATATGAATATAATGGGGAAGGTATTAAGGAGAGCGATGGTGGAAATCTGAATGGATCAAATAAAATCGGAGAGCCGGAACAGTCAATCTGTCAGAATATTGAAGAAGTCAGTGTGGTAACAAATAATAGGGCAGAGCGAGAAAAAGATAATGCTATCGCTCAGAATATTCCAGAGAATATTAATGATGATGAAAATATACAAGAGATTCAAATTGATGCTAAAGAGAAACACAAAAATCCATGCGAAGACTCTAAAGAAAACCGTTATGGCGATGTTACCGTAAGTGATGACGATAATTCCATTAAGGAAGTGTATAATAAAAATAATATTTTAGAATCTGAAATGGAATCAGAAAATAATGCGGAAATTGAAAAAAATGGTATTGAAATTAAAACTCAAATGAAGGTATTGCCAATTAATGAAAATATAAAATCTGATAATTCGAATGCTTCGCCTTTATTACCCGATGAAAATACAGAAAATTTTGACATTTTGGAATGCAATTTGGAAATATTGGATTGTAACGTGGATGACGGTAATGTTCTTGAGAATATAACTGTTAATGCGGAGATTCATTATGAATATTAAAATCACAAAATATTAATCTAAATCAGAATTACATACCCGAATCTAGGTATTAGTTTTTAATTTGATTTATTAATTGAACAATAAATACACATTTTAAAATATATTTTATTGTTTTTTTTTTAATTTATAGTTTTAGTCTAGATATTTTAAAGATTTGTTTTTCAAGAATCAAACGAGACGTGGATTTTTTAAACATTAGTTTTTCAAGGGACTGACCAAAAGATTAATTTTCCTATTTTTAAGATTAATTTTTCAAGGGGCCGACCAAAATAAGCGCTGATTTTTTAAAGAATAATTTTTCAAACACCAAAAGAGGCGCGGATTTTTTAAAGATTCGTTTTTCAAACACCAAAAGAGGCGTGGATTTTTTAAACGTTAATTTTTTAAACACAAAAACAGGCGTAGATTTTTAAAGATTAATTTTTCAAACACCAAAATTGTCGTGGATTTTTAAAAAATTTAATTTTCAAAAGCCAATAGAAGGGTGGATATTTTAAAGATTAGTTTTTCAACGACCAAAAGAGGCGTCGATTTTTTGAAGATATATAACCGCAAGAACAGAGCATGGACGAGCTATGGTAGCAGCCCCACAGATATCAAGAAAGTTATTTTATTTATGAAAATAATCGGAAAGCCAGATTGCATTCGCAAAAGTTCATATTAATTGGAATCCGACTCAGTGGAGAAATATTATGCCATCGGATGAAATAAAGTTAAATATTAATATGAAAAAAATACCGTGAAAAAGTCCAAAAGGCTCATACCACAGTTCTGCAAGGGTAACACTGTGCGACAAATTTTTTAATAATTACCGGGAAATTCCAAAAGATTATGAAAGAGGGGCTAAAAAAAGAAGACACGTTTATCGGCGTTTTGAAAGTTTACGTCGGCATATTTTTAATTTTTGAATTTTTTAATTTTCGAAAATTTTTGTATATATTTTTTAATAAATAAATCCATTTCTGATATGTTTAAATAAAATACATTTATATTTTAACATAAACACTGCAAAAAAACCAAGCCGTTCAAAAATGTCCAGCCTTGTTCAAAGGTGCCCCTGGGGGGCAGTTTTGAACACTTTGACTTCCTCCCTTAAAACAGCAATAAAATATTTATATCATGCTTAAAGTATGTCATAAGTATATTCATTGAAAAGGTTACATATCGTTAGCTAAAATGCAAAAAGGCGTAACTAACAAAAGCAAAATTGTGTAGGAGAAGCAAAAAACTGTATTGAATGAAAACTATAAACATGTCAAAAAAAAAAGTATGCCCGGCAGGGTGATATTGCATATGACGAATAATAGACTATAATTTTTTTAACAAATTTAGTTATATAGCTTAATGGCAGTCATAACAATTAAGTAAAAAATTGAATTTTTTGTTAGTTACGCCTTTTTGTTTTTTTGTTAATAGAAGCTCCTTTTTTGACCGCAGACGTGAAAACTTTGTCAACACATTTAGTTTATTCACATTCACAATATTCATTCAAAAAGTCAATTTTCAATTTTTTGTTAGTTACGCCTTTTTGCATTTTAGCTGACGATATGTACCTATTAGTTAAAATTTATAACAAACCAAAAATTATAAAATAAAAAATTTTATGAGGCTTGAAAGAAAAAAGTGTTCAAAGTTGCCCCCCTCTCCCCTACGTAAAAAAATCTAAAAAAAAAAAACAAAAACTCATTTTAGGGTTATAATCGTACTTATTACTAGTTACTAGACATCCCACAAGATGTCTTTTTAGAAGTATGGTTTAAGGAACAAAAATATTATCCATCAATTGTTAGCATAAGTCACTGAACAAGGGAAATCTGTATTTATAATAGCTGTGTTCCCAAACCTGCAATATAGAACTATATTGTACTAGTTTTGCAATTTTTGCTAGAAAAGCGTTTCCTTACGCCGAAAAGTAGGAAAAATTGAAGTTACATTTAAGAGAGTTAAAATCAAAATGGCGTTCTCTTCTCCTATTTTCTGCAAGACCAATTTGACCTAGCACGAAATAGTAAATGTAGTAAATTATGAATTTGACATTTGATTGCCAGAGATCGGTCCGATCAGTCCGAAATAAAGCATATGAAAGTTAGCGCTTCAACATAAGGGACACACGCACACAAATTTGCTTGAAAAAAAAAAAAACAAACAAATAAGAAATTTAATAATGGGCAAACAGATTTTTTATTCTCTTTTGGAGGATAGCGAAGATGATTGGCTGGCAGAAGATTCAGATGAAGATACTATTGAATGGGTTGGTTAATCATACTACCTAGATGAAGAATATATCATCAAAATGTAAATAAAATTAAAAAAAGAATTTGGATTGCGTAGCCATGTATGCGCCTGGCCATATGTGAAAGTGTTATTCTTAAGTTCTCTTAAAAAGTACCAGATATAACCTTTTAATGATACCCATATTGCCTTGGTGGCAATAGAAAAATGGTTGTTTTAAACAAAATATATTCCGAAATTTCAAGGCCAATATCTCGGGAAGTATGCATTTACCCACATTAAATTTATATCACTGTAATTAGCACGAGGAGGGCTACTTAGGGTAATCATTTCAAAATGATCCGAGTATTCTTGTTTTTCTAGTTCGCTAAAAAATTCCAATCAAAACATCAAATTTCAATAGCATTAACATTATGGGAGCGTAAAGCCATGAACGCCTTTGGAGTAGTAGGAAACTCCACTTCCAAATATTCGATAATGTTTTCCTCTAACGCAATGGACGCCGTTTAATTTTTTGTTTTTTTTTGTGCATTAGGTTTCTGTAGTCTTTTTTGTCCTTAACAAATGACATTTTTGATTTTGACGTTTCTTCATGTTTAACTATTTTTCGTTCCTTTACTTTTTGCGCAAATCTTGTATGTGAGAGTAATTTTTAATAGTTCGCTCTTTTACTAGCTTTACTATCAAAAAGTACGGGAACGAACCTAATGTATATTCCGAATATATAATAGTCATACATTTTTAAACAAAAATTCAAAATGTTCTTGTATTTTGTTTTCTAAGACATTTCCCAGTACTTTTTTCGACTACGCGCATTAAAGTAACATTAAACTTAATTTAAGGTATATTAGGTTCGTTCGTTTTGCTCAATAATTTGTACGAATTAGTACAAATTATTACAAAATGTTGTTCGTTTACCCAAAATCCCAGTAAAAGAAAGTGAATTGAGGGAGCAGATTTGACAGTTGTGTTGCTGAGTATTTGCAAATTTTTACAAGGAAAATTTACTCAGTAAGAATTTTCTTGTACCATCAGCTGATATTTAATCAGCTGTTTTGTTATGTTTTGTAAACAACCAAAAAATTCTTCTCAAGAAAATTGATTGTTTTGAGAATTTTATTTTGATTTTGTATCATTAAATACAAAAATGGATGAAGAAAACGCAAGTATTTAAAAGAAGGTAATACAAGAGTAATTGGCGAACGATTTTTTAGGTACCAAATCCAAACAAAAAAGTGTGCAACCCTAACATGTCTGGAACACCATCGGTTATGTCCACCCCCATATCAATTGCAGATACAGGAATAACAGGTATTGTTAACAGGTACTTGTTATCCATTTTTCTAATAAAAATGCTGTTTTTCAGTTTGCGCCAATTTGTTTGTTGTTTTAATCAGCTGTGTCGAAACAATCTTTTTACTGGGTGTTGTTCGTTTACTTTTTGCAGTTTTTTCTCTTGAAAAGGAAAAATTCGTATTTACTCTCTGCAAATTCTTACTGAGTAAATATTACTGGGAAAGTAAACGAACGAACCTATTATGTCAAAGAATAAAATATTCTTCGACAAATTCCATTGCAAAGTCCCAAAACAAAGTATATATTTATATATTTTTATTTTTAATTTACAATAGTTCCGTTCCAGAACCTAAAAAATCTACTAATTTTACAAGTTTTACAACTTTTTACTCGAAAACCGTTCCTGAACCCACAAAACTGGTAAAACATTGAATCAAATTTAAGAGAGCACAAAACAAAATGGCGTTCTCTTCGTAAACATTTTACTCAAGAAATTTGGCCGAGTAAAAATGGTTAACAGGAATGCCTACTTCTGATTGGCTGTTATTTTGATTTTGAAGTATTGCCATCTAATTTTGGCATATTTACTAGATTTGCGTTCCCAAACTTTTCAAATTATTTTGTACTCTGAGAGCTATTTTGAAACGTTTCCCTTTAACTTGCTTTACTATTAAAAAAGTACAGGAACAAACCAAAAATTCTTCTAAATTGCCTGTCTATACATTTTTGTAAACAGAGCACAGGTGACATTTATTATCCCAATGAAATGGAATTTGACTCAACGCATTTGTTTGTTCCAGGGACGAACCCTATTGTTTAAATCTGTTGAAGTTTAGATATATGTAGCTCCCATATAATATTCGTCCCATTCCCTGTGCATTGTGAATCAAACAACTAGAGTTTGTGCGTTTGAGACGAAGGTGTTTTTTTATTATAGGTTTAAAATCGGCACATTGGCTGGTGTAACCCTTTGCCAAAGTTATAAAAAATCACATCCGACCTATATGTGACTCATCCTTCCGATAACATTTAATATACATAGCACTGGTGTACTGTATATACTTTCAACGAAATTCATCTAAATGGTGTAGCAAACTAAGTTATCAATATAAATTTCACGTTGTATATACAGGTGGGGTGGCTTAGTGCAGTGTCATACAGATGTGTTCCGGGTTCGAATTCTATCGGAACAGAACAATTTTTTAAAATGATTTTCGAATATTTGTAAGAGAACATATTCATCCGAAGTCCCTGGACATTTTAATAACCAACATCGACATCAATATGTAGGTTCACCTAGGGGAAAATGGCAACACTAAATAAGCAAGGACTCCAACCGTACAGTACAGAAATGAAAAGGCGTTTATTCTACGCAACGACAGATGACAGTCCCATTACTTAGAAATGACTACAGTTGACCAATCATCTATTTACTCAACCCACCTCAATTCGACACCGAGATGAGACAGTTGTGTGTCTCCAAATCAAATATTTAGCGCAATTTACGAAAGATTTGCATCATCATGCATACAAAGTAAAATTGGCTCAGGAACTAAAGCCAGCTGACCATGGACATCGAAGGGATTTAGATAATCTGCCAATAAACTCACCTTCAGTGGAGAGACCCATTTCCATCATTATGGCTTCGTCAATAAGCATTTGGGATGAGGAAAATTTTTGCGTGATTCACGAGAAGCAAATTCATCCTCAACGTGTCACTGTGTCGTGGCAGACATATGGTTCCTTTTGAGAATAAGTATAGAATCACTATCTGAGTCGATTTATGCATGTCCGTCCGTCTGTAAACAAAGTGCAGGTCGAATTTTTGATTCGAATTGGATGAAATTTGGCACAGCTCACTTATTTGGCCCAAGGACGAACCCTAATGAAATTGAAGAAAATCAGTTCAGATTTAGATATAGCTGCCGTGTATAGTTTCGTCCGATGTAAAGTAAATGGGGCACCAAAGTTCCTATATATGTTTCGGCAATATTGCTGATAAAATATCGGGGAATATTTTGCAAACGAATGAATGGTGTTCCGTATCGTAAAATGATAACCAGTCACATGTCATACAGCCAGAGAAATAATTCAACTGCGGCATCAGTTATTTTCCGGTCGTGTTATTTCGCGTTTTGGAGATCCGAGTGGACCATCATGATCATGATTTTTGAAGTTGATTGTTTAATATATTTAATATATTATTCTTTACATAACCTCATTCGGTCTGCCTTACGATATAATAGAGTTTCACGATTTTTTTTAATATCTGTATCTGAGGCCGTAAACCCGTTTTCTCAGGAATTTCTCAATGTAGGTCCATTTTTATAGAATGCATAGAATAACTTTCTGAGACGATTTATTCATGTCCGTCTGTCTGTCCATGTTAAATTGTAAACAAAGTACAGGTCGCATTTATGATCCGATTAAGATGAAATTTAGCACAGCTCACTTATTTGGTCCAAGGAAAAATAGGTTCAGATGTAGAAATAGCTCCTATATATATTTTGGTCTGATTTAATATAAATGATGGACCAAAGTTTGTAACAATTTGTTTTTTTGCACAGCGTACCTAATTAAGTACAGATTGAAGTATGTGAAATTGTGTTGAGATCGGTTCAGATTTAGATATAGTTCCCATATACATTTTCGTCTGATTTTATGTAAAAGGTGTCCCAAAGCCCCTATTTTTTCTGATTTGCACGAAATTTTGCCTATCGTAGTGAGTTGAGTCTAGATTGGTGTGTGCTAAGTTTCGTTGAAATCGTTTCAGATTCAGATATAACTCCCATATATATTTTCGTCCGATTTTATGTAAATGATGCACCAAAGCTTTTATACCTCTCTTGATTTACACGAAATTTGGCATAGCGTATTGAATTGAGTCTAGAATGATGTATGCTAATTTTTTTGACGATGGGTTCAGATTTAGATATAGCCCTCATTTTTGTCTAATTATAGGTAAATTGTGCACCAAACTCCTAATGTTTGTCCGATTGACACGAAAGTGCGCCATACCGAATAGCGTGTATTAAGTTTGCCATAAATCGATTTAAATATGTTTATATTGTACACAAATGACTCTAATTCTGCCTGAATGAAATGAAACTTTGCAAAGGTTTCAGAATATATGTAGACACTGATGTTAGTCGGTTCACATATACATAAATATCGCATATTTAAGTTCGTTAAATATCAAATTCAATGTTCCTTCGAAAAGGCGGCGTCTATTCGGATATATATGTAGAATATACCAAATTGGTGAAGGGTAGCATATAGTCGGCCCAGACCGACTTTACCCACTTTCCTTATTGGTTTTATTTTGACAAAGCGCTGTACCAATTGACACATGTAAAATTTCCTTCCAATCACACCAGATTTACATGTAGCTCATGTACTTCAAACACTATAACTTAGCCCAATTGACATAATTTTCTCCGATTTTAGGCAACTCCGATTTTAGGATACGACCAAAATGATTATAGTGCACTTGTTATCATGTTACTGTAATAAGAATTTAAGGAGGGAAGGGTATCGTGAAGGGTATCATATAGTCGGCCCTTTCCGACTTTGGAATTTTACGTACTTGTTTCATAGGTCCATATATACATATCATTATGAATTGTATAATTTTTGAAAATTAAATATAAAATAACAAACATTTTCAAAATCTTTATATAAGATGTACACGTGGACATAATGATTTCTTTTCCGTCTCCTCAATTTTCCGAATGTATCACCATATTCCCTTTGTTCGATTAAAGTACAAACCTGCATCTGTTTAATATTAGTTAGTTTCATTCTATTTTTTATTTCCAATGCATACATTTGGATTTGGATTCGCATCCTTATCACCATGTCAACCATGAAAGTTCAATTTTACCAGTTTTCCATTGATTTTGTTAACCGGTTCGTAGCAGTTTTCCATTCTATTGTCTATAGGAGTAGCTGGCTGGATGCAATGTCTGGCATTATAGATGTGTATGTCTGTTATTGTATTCGATGTTACGTTATAGACAAAGTAAAAAATGTAAATTACAAATTTTCTTAGATAATTTTGCAATGTGGTAATCGGTAGAAATTAATTCTGACGGTATTCTGGAGGAAGGTTTGCGAGAATAAATTATTATCACATCCAGTCGTTTTGGAAATTTTAGTTACACATTTAAAATCTCTAAATCGGAAAGTAAGGCATCATGTGTAAAGCGGGACAAGTTTGCCTGAAGATTTCCTGATTACGACCCAGTTCCCTCTCCTCGCAAGCAGAGAGATGTATATTGACGTATTATGCCCATTTCCGTTTTACGGGGGTCTAAATATTTGTTTATTTTCCTGCAAGTCACTGTCTTGGCATTTCTTCAACACCCAAGACACACGACCATACTGAGTGATTTTTGCTAAATAGAATGGAGGTCGTACAAATCATATTTTAAAAAATAACCACTGCAAACTGGATTGTCGATGTACCATTTAATTTTGACCCAAAGGGTCATCAACGCAAATTATTTGTGGACTTATTATGGCAAAACAATTATCTAAGAAAGCGCAAAACTGATAAGCCGACTCGGCGATTTGCAAACATTACGTTTCGTTTTGTTCGTTTTCAGTTTTTACTTTGTCTATGGAAACAAAGAGCTCATCACGATGATTGGATCATCCCAGACACAGATTTGACGCTTTGGGAATTTGTGCGCTTCCAGATTTTTAGAAAAAAAACGAATAAACTGCTTCGATCCGGTTTTGAAAAAGTGGAATTTGCCACAATTGAACTTTTGTACATGGCAATAATGATAAGGTGTACTTGTTTTGTTTATTTTTATATGAAAAAAATATTATTTATGCGAAAAAAATTTTATTGGGGGTTTTAAAACTCAAAACAGATGTAATTTTTTTGAAACGCTATAATAAAATAAATTTAGAACAGCTTATGACATAAATGAATTATTTTCATTTGGAAAGAAATACAGTGCTAGTCAAAAGTGTGTATTAAACAGTAAGGAAAGTCTAAAAATCTGACTGGACCAAATATCCTTTAGCAATTTTGGCAGTATACCAAATATGATCCTAAGATTCTTATTGTATCTCACGATTTACATAAAATCGGACGAAAATATATATTGGAGCTGTATCAAATTTTTAATCGATTTCAACAAAACGTAACATGCGCCAGTCAATTAAATACGCTATGTAAAATTTCGTGTAAATTGAACACAGTGCCTTGGTACCTCATTCGACGGAAATCAAATAAAAATGTGTGTATTATATGGTAGCTATGTTAACATCGGAACCGATTTCAAAAAAAAGTAAGGAAAGTTCAAAAGTCGGACGGAGACGACTATATGAAACCCTTCAACTCTTTTTGCGGACGACAAACTGCAACAATTTCAATACGCTGTACAAAATTTTGTCTCAATCGGACAACCATTGACAGGTTTAAATAAAATCGGACGAAACTATATCTAAATCTGAACTGATTTTTCCCAATTTCAATTAGGGCAAAATTAGTGACATGATCCACATTTCATTCAAACCAGATCATAAATGCGACCTGTACGGACATGCATATATCGACTCAGAAAGAGATTCTATGCATATTCTCAAGAGGAACCATGGGTCCATCTCGATTCCTTTTGCCTGTTAGAAACATATGCACAAAGGCATAATACCCAGTACCACAGTGTGGTGAAGGGTATAAAAATGTTCGAATATATGGGAGCTATATCTAAATCTAAAGCGATTTCACTCTTGTTTCCTCTATGCAGACTAATTGGTCTTTATAAAGTCCTGTGGTCTCTCAGCAGACCTACACTTCCAATCGGTCTCTTTATATATAAATTGATCTTTATAAAGGCCAGTGGCCTCTATACAAACCAATTCGACTATATAAACCCCTATGTTCTACATAAATACCAATTGGTATTTATACACACCTGTAGTTTCTCTGCAGACTGTGGTCTCTGTCCAAATGCAATCGGCCTCTATAAAGAACAATAGTCCTGTATTAAGATCTATGATCTCAGTACAGAGCAATTGGTCTTAATAAATTCAATTGTAAGTGAAAGTTTCTTTATAAATCCAATTGAAAGGACATGGGCTATAATGAAAATTCGTTAGAGAGATTTGAAACTGAGATTTTAATATTTTAACATGGAGTACGAATCTATAGTAGTTAGGGTAGTATACCGGATTAAAAAATGAATATAGGTAGTTCCAAATTCAACGCGATGAGTATTTGGTGAAGATTAGTATTTGTTGCAAAATTTCATGAAATCGATCGAAAATATGTATGGAAGCGATGTCAAAATCTGTATCGATTTTCATCGATATCGCAAAGGATTCGCGTTTGGACTAAAAAGCATTTTGTTTAGAATAATTGAACAGAGGGACGGAAAGATGAGGATGTGAAAAGGCTGCTAAGTTCGTTCGGATCGACGTTGTTACACGTTCCCTCACGGGGGTGGAATATCTAAAATACCTTAATTTTATATGGGTAAAATTCTGCCAGGAGGAAACTAAATATCAAACCGACTCTTATGTTGGGAAATAGGGCTACAAAAATCAGTGCAAACGTATATGGGTTTATACCAAAACGTAAACCCATATTGATAATTTTTGGAAAAAAGATTGGGTCCCAACTTCGGACTTGATCTATGCTTGGTAAAGATAATAGGTTGAGCAAAGTTTGGTTCAAATCGGACATTCCATTCGCCTGATATTAGCTTTATAAATATTGAACATTTTGACCATTTGTGGGGGAGGTACCAGAAGAAGGGGACCAATGGGTCCCAACTTCAGACTTGATCTAGACTATATAAAATAATAGGTTGTACAAAGTTTATAAGTATTGAAAATGTTTACCATTTTTAGGAGACGAACCAGAAAGAGTGAACCAATGGGTCCCATATTGGGAATTGATCTAGGCTTTGTAAAGATAATACGTAGTGTAAAGTTTGGTTCAAATCGGATAGTCCTTTCTTATGATATTATAAAATTAATTCTTAGCACAATTTTGATCATTTTGTGTGGGAGAGATATTCCCAATATTCGAACTTTAGCTAAGTTTTATACACAAAACATAATAAAGTTCCTTACATACTTAGCTGACTCGAGACAGAACATTTGTTCCATCTTGTGTGCAGTTTTTCCAGTTTGAAAGACCATGATTTAATATGTCATCCTCCACTTGATCTTCCTATCGTGGCCTTCTCTTCTGCGTGAAACATCAGCAGCCTCGTACAACATGACGTAGCCACCCAATTGTCTGTAGCACGATACGTCTGACAATCTCTCAGACACTTCAAGATCTGTCTCATCTGCTTGCGCAAATACCCATGCTTCTGATCCATAGACCAGCACGGGTAGTATCAGCGTCTTGTAGAGTGTGGCCTTGCTTTTGAGTTGCTTACTCAGACCATAGTAGCATCTGTTGGCCAACACTATTCTCTACCTCGAAACTGTAGTTTTTAAGTTCCACATTTGGTTCGAGTCTACTGGACGTCTTGGGCGATAGTAACATCAGCTTGGTCTTCTCGCCACCTATTACCAGTCCCACTTTGGCAGGAGGCTGTTACCGCTCGCAATGTTCGACCCATTATGTCGATGTTGTCAGCGTAGGCGAATAACATGGCTGTTTGGTGTACAGAGTGCCATTTTTGGTCACATTTGCATCTCGGATGACCTTTTCAAGCAGGATGTTAAAAAGATCACACGAGTGGCTGTCACCTTGTCTGAAGCCTCGTTCGGGCTTCGAAAGGTGCTGACCTTATGCCAGGTAAAATTATCCTGGATAACAGTATTAATTTTGTAGGAATGCCGAACGCAGACATGCCCAATATTGACATTGACCAGTCGTTTACTCAGCACGCTGGATATCACTTAATGTGCACGGGACAAACCGAACATACGTAGCTCACACAATTTGTGAATGTAACGGTTATTTTTTGATAACCCTTGGTACTTAAACGCCCATGTTTCATCTAAGGACCTACTTATGCGCAACAATTTTTTGTAGAATTTTTTTTAAAAATATTATAGAATAAAGTGCAGGAGTGTACGCAGACTTTTTCCACTGAGTGTACATTTCATTCTTACCGAGCATGGCATAATATTTTGGTTTAATTAAAAGAATTAATTTTAATTATTTCCATTGTATCCAAGAGCCTCCCAAGATTTCAAATCTAAACTAGAATAATAATAATCATTGTTATCACTAAATATGTTTGTGTGTCATGTTGTTGTGCGACACATGATCAAAAACATACGATTTTCAAACCACACAAAAAATCTTCAGACCACCAGCTGAGAGATAATATTGTAGTTAATTCATTTATTTTTTTTTAATAATCACTCCAAATTGTTATTCCATGTGTTATTAAAATTACTTGAATTTGTGCATACATCATTCGTAAAATTTAAGGTCATATTAAAATCCTCCGGCATTAAATTTGAAGAATTTTGACGGAATTGTAGTAGGATGACAATGTATGTGACCATATTTGCAGCAATCTGTAATGAAAAAATAAAACAAACGTTTTCAAATTATTATTATTATTATTTATTATTATTTGAAAAAAATCAATGCATTCTTACCGCCATAACAAATTTCAAATTAAGTGTAAAATAATCATTAGCACTTATTCGTATTGGATTGTGTAAGATTTGCATTATAAATGCCTGCAGCAACGAATTGTATTCAGTGACATTCCGGGGATTGGAGAATTTTGATGATGATGTTCTTAGGAGGCTTTTTAGTGAGATCAATATTAAGTTGCACTGAAAAGATAGAAAACATTATTAAAACAAGTAAAAATGTATTGATTTCACTTTCGAGGTGAGCTACATGATCGAAGTTGCAATGAAAAGGAAAGCAGAGAGATACTACATTTCCACATTCGACGCGTTTAGGTTGATTAGGCGGTTCATCAGACATATTGGGCAATCTGTTTGTAACCCGCGAAATATTGGTACTGGTCGTCATATCTCGATTGAGTCGATCTAGATTTGTGTGTTCGTCTGTTCATTATAATTTTGAATACCATCCATCATAGGTATACTGATAGTTATTTGAAATGAAAGTATAGGGTACATACAATTAAATTGTACCGCGCGATTGTTGTAAACCATATGATATACCAAATACAAATTTATATACCGTTATATGGGGGCTACCCGAAAAATTGGACCTATATTAATATTTTTTTAGTGGACAAATTTGGTAAGTACAAAACTTAAGCGAATTGGGGGACCGTGGACCGATATAGCCGATCTTCGAACTTGACCTGCAGACAAAAGACAACTCTATGAAAAATTTCGGCGATCTATCTCAATTCGTTTAGACGCCAGAGTGATTACAACCAGAGATGGTCCGTCAGAAACAGTGACGTAAATGACGTACATATTCGACGTATAATACATACGTCAGAAACGTCGGAAACCTACTCAAAACCATTAGCTTTTTGCAAAATAGCTGTTTCCTTTAATAAATTATCAAATTACGTATGCTTTACTCAAATCCATATCAAATTTCAAAATTTTCATCTCTAAAAAGTTTGGAATTGTTTATCAGTTCCAGTAAGGAATAGTCAGATACATATAAAAATGATATATATTCTACAAAATACCTATATATGGTAATGATATTCAAATAAATAACGTTTACTACATTTATTACATTTTATACAGGTATATGACGTTTTCGACGTTTACACCTGATTACAACAGACGGACATGGAGGAGGGTATAAAAATAGTAAAGTCGAACGGATGGACTATATGATGCCCTTCACCACTTTGGGTATATTCAATAGATGCATCCTTACAGACGTCGCATTTTTGTAGGACCATTGACATGGAATTGGTTGAGATCAATCTTTAAAAATGTCATTCTGCAACCTATACTAAATTTTTCATTTGGACAATGGAGCAATATTATGAAAATCGACTTAAAGCAAATCTCAAGCAGACAACTGTTGATTATTTGGGACCCAATTAAGATTAAGTTGGTCGAAAATATATATATTGGCTATGTCTGCATTTCTACAAAACGCAATTACGTCATTCTATGCTCTATTATGTACGTTGTTTAAAATTTCGTGTCAATCTGAAGACGAGTATGGTGCACCATTTAATTAAAATCGGACAAAAATATATATGGAAGCTATATCCCAATCTGAACCGATTTCAACGAATCTTGCCACAGGATAGGTTATACTAACTTCAGTAAGTTTTGAGCCTATCGGTCATATTTTGGGCCTTTGGGGCAGCATTTAGTAAAAATCGGGAGCTATATCTAAATCTGAACCAATTTTATCAATACTTGACACACGTTATGTTATAGTAATTTAATGTACTTAAAATCGGAAGGCTATAAAGAGACGTTAGAAAACCTCCCAATAGTGGGAAATAATAAAGGAAGAATGTACCAAATCACCAACCCCCCCGCGCAATTTTCTGCTCTCATCCCATCACTGGATAAGAGATTTGCAGAAGTTAATTTTTAAAACGGATTTCCAACGTACTAACGTAAACCAGTAAGGAAAGTAATAAAGTCGGATTGGACCGACTAAGTATCCTTACAATTGCATGTCAATGTTTCCTCGAAGGAACATACTCATGTCTTTCTGTAACCTATGATAAATTTAATTTCATGCGGACCGATTTAGAGTCGTCTGGGTAACATGGGACAAATTTATGGAAAACGATTTATAGCAAAATTGATACACGCTATTCGGTACGACGCACTGTTAAAAAATTAATTTCAATCAGACACCCGTTCGAAATACATATGGATGCTATGGCTGCATCTGCACCAATTTCAACGTTGTGCAAAATTTCCTGTTAATCGCACATTAGGAGTTTGGTGCACCATTTATGTAAAATCGGACAAAAATATATATGTATATGTGGGAGCAATATCGAAATATTAACCGCTTTTCCGAAACTTACCACACATCATTCTTGACTCAATTCAGTACGCTATGCCAAATTTCGTGCAAATCGAAAGATATATAGGGACTTTGGTGCGCCATTTACATAAAATCGGACGAAAATATATATGGGAAAAATCGGTTCAGATTTAGAAACCGATTTTTCCCAATTTAAGTAGGGATCGTCCTTGGTCCAAATAAATGAGCTGTGCCAAATTTCATCCAATTCGAATCATAAAAGTGACCTGTACTTGGCTTACAATGTAACAGACGGACATAAATCGACGTAGAAAGTGTGGTGAAGGTTATCTATCTATACTAATAAAAGAGTAAAGTGATTGACTGACTGATTTAACGATTCATCAACGCCCAGACGAAACGGCTGAAGCTAGAATCTTGAAATCTTATTTGAGGGTCACTCTTGGTCCAAAGGTGTCAGATAAGGCTGGGTTTTTGGAAATTCGTACTAGAACGGTACGAAAAGTACTAAAAAGCACTAAATTTGATACCATTTGTATTTGGCGAACCAGAACTCTGAAATTTGGATTGAGGGTCACTGACGGAGTGTAGAATAGATGTAACAAAGGCCTTTTTGGAAATAGGAACTATAAGTATCCGAAAAGAACTGAAATGTACTACATTTGGTACAATTTCATAGCATGTGAATGGATTGAGCTAAAAATTTGGAATGCAAATTAAGGTTGAGAAGTAGGTTCGATATGAGGAGAGTTTAGAAAGCGTAGAAAAGTACTATATGGTACTATATTTGGTACAAATTTGATTTGTACAAATCGAGCTGGAATCCTGAAAATTGAAAGTAACATTACCGTCGGAGTTTAGTATTAGTATATGCACGTAGTTTTGGAAAAATTTTACTTTTGTGTACGAAAAGTACTAAATCGTACTATAATTGGTACATTTTGGATTTGGATGAACCGATAGAGCTGGAACAATGAAATTTGGAGTTAGGATCGTTGTATTAGTTTAACAAATTAATACTTATGGGTACTAGATGGTACTAAATTTGGTACAATTTGAATTTTAGGTGAAACAATAGAGCTAGAATCATGAAAATTCGAGTCAGGATCAGTGTGGAGGTGTAAGATTGAAATATGTAGGAAGTTTTAGCAATTCGTACAAATGTGTACTACATTTGGTACAATTTAAATTGTCGGTGAAGCGATAGAGTTGAAATCATGAAATTTGGATTTAGGATCACTGTGGGGATGTAGGATTGGGGTATGTAGGAAGTTTTGTATTTAGGATCACTGTGGGGGTGTAGGATTGGGGTATGTAGGAAGTTTTGTAATTGGTACTACTGTGTACAAGATTTGGTACAATTTGAATTGTGGGTGAACCTATGGAGTTGGAATCCTGAAACTTGGATTTAGAATCACTATCGGGGTGTAGGATTGGGGTATGTTGAAAGTTTTGAAAATTCGTACTACTGTGTACTAAATTTGGTACAATTTAAATTGTTGGTGAACCAATAGAGTTGGAATCCTGAAATTTGAGTTTGGAATCATTGTGGAGGTGTAGGATCGGGGTATGCATAAAGTTTTGTTGGATGGTTGAAGAGGGTACTTACGGAGATAATGTGTGCTAAATGGAAAATTTGGATTTGGGTGAACCTTTAGAGCTCGAATCATGACATTTGCTACTAAATGGTACTCAAAATTAATTTGTGGTCGATATTAATGTATTCCACACATTAATACCGACCATTTTTTCTGACATATGCAGTTTCCTACATTCGCTAACGAAGTTGCGGGCATATGCTAGTAAAGAATAAAATTGTATGCTTTAATTAACACGCACTTACTCACTGTAGTTCATTTGTGTACAGTTACTGGATGTCACTATGATATCATCAACATAAACAATAATGCAGCTCAATTTTCCAGAAATATTTCCATATTAGAAATTTTGTATTATCTCTACTCACCCGCTTCTCACACCGATCTCCGTTATAGCATAGGACAAAAAATATGGTGCACAGCGGTAGTAGTGTTCCTCCAGTTATAAACAAATAATATCTTGCATAAATATTCATAATTGTCAGTAGAGACCAGTAAACATGTATTATAATATCCAATACAATAACTGTCAAAATGCCCACCAATGAGACGCCAAATATCCGGTTATATATTATATGTAAAATATATATTTCATCATAGACCATTTTGAAGCTCTCCATATATTCATAGGATTCCAAATGATGATAGTTTACATCAAGAATGCTATAATTCCGCTCAATTTTACAAGACATTACCGCTTTCAGTTTGTCATTTAATAGTTCCAAGTAGTAGCAGAGATAATCCAAGGCAATTAACATTTGCAGGCAACGGGTTCGAATAATTAATACGGCCAATATGGCATGCCAAAAATAGCCAGAATATCGGATGAAACAAATGACCAACATGACGGCCAACAAACTGCCATAGACCACACAGATGTAGAGAAAATATTTACGCCTTTGCCGATGACGTATGGCATCCACACATAGTTGTGTTTGTAGCAGGTGTTGCATTAAGCCTTGTATCTTATCGATACTTCCAATAAATGTAAAATGTTCCTTATAGCCCAAGGCCGTTTCAATAAGGACCACATATATCACCAGCATTTGTATTACAAAAACAATAACACTAACCAAATCCGATATTACTGTCTTATCTTGAAAGGGCGAGAAGACCAAACCGTACAAGGTTAACCATAGATTGAGAATAATTATCGCACCGGTGTAAATTTGTTGCCATCGCAAATGTTGATTGGGGCCAAAATCGACTGCAAAATCACAAACATGATTTACATGATAATTGACATTGTGTGAATACGAATGGGAGGGGTACGGAGGGTACTGATGCTGACATGGTCGTTGGTGTCGTCGTCGACGTTGCTGTTGTTGGCTGCGCCTCCTTTTTCTAATATATGGCGCTAGGCCAAATATGGCAAAGAATTTCAAAAAATTCAAATGTAATTCGTTAACCATGATTACTTTCGTTCGTTCGTTCTTCGAGTCGAGTTGTAGGTTATGTACTGAAGGGACGTAACAATCGATTGCATTATTCTGACATGTTCTGTTGATGAGATCCATTTATTCGTAAAGTCATATTTTGTGATATATGCACATGTCAATATTAATTTATTGGCGATAATTATTTTATGCAAATTCACACTCAAGGAAATTATGCCTGACAAGGGCACGGGAATGTGACAAAAAATTTAATAAGCAATCGTTAGGAATGAACGAACAATAAACTCCTTTTTTGGCGTATGTCTTCAAATTTATATACGTATACATACATATATTTGAATCCTTTATTTTGAAAGTGGTTTTAGGTTTTGATACAAATCTTGGTTTTCTAGAAAAGTTTAAAAAACATATTACGTTATATATTCTATCATGTTAAAGGGCACAAAACCTCAAAGAAAATGAATACCACTTAAAGATAATTTTGAAACAAAACAAATCCAAACATCTCAAAAATATCTCAGTATAAGATTAAATGGGCTTGAACCACTTTCAAAATAAACGAATCATTTAATGCTTCATTATCGCCAGGATATTTTAAATGCTTGGAGATTAAGTTTTATAATTGACTCTGCGTCCAAAGAGATGAAGGCAGATGAGTGTGTTTAGCTGGGTATGCTGTTGGAAAGATGCCGCGATGCGTGAGGTCTTAGGTCACAATCAGGGCATGTATCTGGTATTGTGTGATCAATTCGGCTCCAGTATAAATTGCACAATCTAATCATAATTGAGCTAAAATCACTCTCGTTTGTCTAGATACCTGTCGTTCTTTCGCTAATATAAGTGGTGGGCGGACAGCAAGAAATACATTCGCGTGGTATTGGACCATAGCCTGGGTCACGGCTTCCGCGTGAATACTATTTATACTTGCTCGATAGGTATCTTGGTCAGAGATTCTCTCTTGTACAATTCTCTCTCTCTAGATTGTGTAAGACCGACCTTCTTCTCCTCGCTCGGTCTGTATTCTGGTATGTTCGAATATTCGTCCACTGCGTAGCGCTTACATACGCAAATCACACCAGTACCGCCTAGCATACCATAGTGGTTTGCGCAGGCGACTTAAATATTCAATTCTTCGGAGTAATTTGTGGTCAGAATCTGTACAACATCGACCATGACGTTGGGCGGCAGCGTCATTTCAATCGTCCAAGAGGTGAACAGTGTGGCTGTGGCTTCATATTCCTCATATTTTACATGTGAGCATTTCCGGGAAGTTATAAACCAAAGTACAAGAATTTTTTCATAATTGTACTTAGATACGTAAAAGTACGGCAAAAATTAAAAAAATGCGAAAATGTGTCTCATCGAAATACATACTAGTTTTAGACCCCATGTTTCTTTGGGCCAAATCCATTTCAGACAATTTAAGTCGATTTACAGATGTCCGTCCGTCTGGCCGGTTCGAGGGGAGTGACAGATTTAATCCAAACTTTGCAAATCTTAATATTTCATTCAAACTTAGTTCAAGTTCGCCTCCTAAAATGGTCAAAATTGTGCAAAAAAACTTATTTTGTTAAACTTTGTACAACCTATTGTCCTTAACAAGCCTATATGATGCGAAGATTCTGTATAAATTCAATAGTAGGCGAATGGAATGTCCGATTTGACTCAAACTTTAAATAACCTATTATCTTTATCAAGATAAAGACCGAAGATGTGATCACTTCTGGTACCTCCCCTACCAATAGTCAAAATGTTCAATATTTATAAAATTATATTAGGCGATAGAAATGTCAGATTTGAACCAAACATTGCAGAATAGGCGTCTTTCATTATTATATTGTCAATTTTTTTGCATCGGGCCAAGACCCACAAGTAAACCCAACCCATACCATTGTAATTCCTCAATCGTGCTTCACATTAGACATTTGAATTAGTTTTCATCGCCAATAATGCTTATCGTCGGATTGAAAACGGTTTAATTTGGATTCATACGTTTCCAGTCAACCACTGTTCAACTTTTGGGCTCGTTGAAAATTTTTTACCCTGTTTTTGCATTTTTTTATAATACAGGTTTTTGGTTTTTTTTACTGCTGCTATAGCCACTGTCGGGAAGGGCTCTTCACGTCGTTCCCCCATTAACAGGAGTACTGACGAAACATATTTGAGGTTTGGGATCAACGGAACATAATTATAAATTTTTGTACCCATTTAACCACTAATTGGGACAATTTAAGTCTCTTTGCCATTTCCAGGGTGGAACATCTTTTTTCACTCATGACCCGCATGGCCTCTTCAGAGGTTATTAAATGTTTTATCCATGATTTATTATTTTAGTTAATTATTTGTTTTTTGTTCAAAAATTTCCACAATGCTTTTAGTAATGTAAAACTCATATTTTCTTAAAAAAAAGAACTAATAACAAGTGAAAAAGCGTTAAGTTCGGCCGGGCCGAACTTTGGATACCCTCCACCATACATATACTGGCAGGTACTAGAAATGAAAATATAGGGAAAATACCAAAAAGTGGACCTATACCGACATTTCTAAAAACGGATTATGTAAACCACATGTTGAATGGATAATTATACTTCTTATAGCTAATGAGGGTGTATACACTTTGACACGGTGAAAATAAGCCTCATCGAATTATTGGTTCAAATGTTTTTTACCAAATTGTATTCACAAAATTTTGATTTATCCAAACTTTGCCCATCTTATTATTTCTTCCAAACTTAGTTAAAATTCGAAGATGGGGAATATCGGTCCAATCATCTATCTCCATCTATTTTGAAATGCGATGTATGGCTGTTAAATAAAATATTATATTATTGATTGTCTCTGCCTTCTGATCTGATAGATGTACAGCTTCATCCTAAGTTACTGGTTTCCATTTGCGAGATATGGTTCGCTGAATGTATAACTAAATAAGATTTCAGTAGGGTATTTGAAAAGGGCCGGAATCCTTCCGCATGTTTCTTAACCCTTTCAGTGTCAATAAAAATTTTTGTCGGAAAAAAATCTAAAATTTTGTATTTAAAATCATATAAAGGGCCGTAGTTTAGAAAAAATAGCAACTGTCATTCTAACCCTCGGCCTGTTTCGTCTGTCTTTCAGCAAAAATAAAAACATCAATAGTAACGGTACATAGGATAACCGAAAAATCGCAAAGAAAGAGATTACGTTTAAATGTCGAATATATTCGACAAAAACACTGAAATGGTTAAAAATGGTTAGGATGGGTTCAAATATGTTATATTGTTTATATTGGTTTTGTCAATATTTGAGCGGTACAGGTAACATTTCGAAGTTTGCAGTATAAAAAATGATTAAAAGGGGGCAAGGCAATACCACCATTAGGAATGCGTGTGGTGTTCATGGGAAAGCTCTTTGCTTGGAAAAAAGGAGTTATTATATTGTATTGCTATAAAATGTATTAGTATATTTATAGTTTTCAATCGACGATGATACAATGTCAGTGCCTTCTAATATATATGGTTGGAGGAAACGCAATGAGACAACTAACAGCTCTTCTGGTTTAAATTGTTCAAAAGTCGATTGAATTCTATAAAATGTACAATAATCTAAATAGAATCAAACTTCCTTTTTTTAATTTTACTTATTTTTTTAATAAAATGTGTTTGAAATAATGTGAATGGAACGGTATGGGCATTTCAAAATTGAAAGAATGACCATTTTACACCGCTATGGTGACAATTACTGACCGCAGAAAAAACGTCTCAATTTGTACATGTTCGTGCTCGAAACCGTTGTTAAAATCTCGGTATGAAATTGAGAAGGCAGTGTTCAAGTTGGATGTTGTCACTTTTTCTCTGGGTGTACACCCTCTCCCCTACGGTCCACTGCTCAACGCAGGGATTTATTGCAAATTTTCCAACAGAATTAGTTTTAATTTACTTTTTTCAGTTTATCATTGGGTATAAAACCTTCATACTGATAATTTACCATGGCATAGACCCCTATAAAAATCCATGACTTGCATTTTTGTGGAACATATAAAGATTACAAAACGTCAAATTAATTAATTCCATATCTTTCTTGAAATGTCCATAGATTTGAATTAAATGCATTTTAAACATGGGAAAATTTAAACACATCTACCTGTTCAAATGACGCAGTGTGGTTGCTGTATACGTTTGATGTTAGATAAAAAGGTTCTTCGGTTCACACACACACATCCATACAAATACGATGCACCACAAAGCCAAGAAGAAATCTCTGAAAAAACATTTTCGATTTGTTAAAAAAAAAAAACAAATATTTAGGAAATAAGTTACTAAAAAAGGTATTGCCAATGGGAAATAAATTATTATAAAATATTTCAAATAATCCGTCTCGTATATAGTTTAAATATTCGCTAAAAATGGCTTACAATTTTTATATAGAGTATCGAAAATATAATATTTTATATTTAATTACTTTTTTAAAGAATTTCAGCACTAGATGAAAATATCTTCTTCTTCTTCTAAAATGTTCTTATTTACAAATGTAAAGAATATTTAAAAATGGAAAATTCCACTGACATTCCACTGACAAATGGGACAAAAAATACCTGTTGACAGATCAAGTTACCTGTCTGTCTTACGATGCAGTCAGTGTTAGATAATAAAGGTTAAAAAACCCCACACACACATAAATACACCCCAAACGAAACAAATAAAATACACCGCCTAAAAGGGGGAACATAAAATATTACACAATTAGTATCTATTTAAGTTATTGGACGACACTGTCAATTTAAAAAGGACCTCAAAAAGATCAACGTAAATATTAGTAACAGAAAACATGTATCGTACAAGGTTTGTTCAGATAGGTTGTGCAAAGTGTAATGAATTTCGATTCTTTTGTTATACCCTCCACCATAGTTTGGAGGGTATATTAATTTTGTCATTCCGTTTGTAACTCATCGAAATATTGTTCGGTATTTTGAGGTTCTTGAGTGCGTTTTTCAAGCGAATTCGCAGAAAAAATTAGGTCCACTTTTTCTGGAAGCCCTC